CACAGCAGAGTCTGGCAAACTCCCTGTGGCGTACCCAATATGCCAAATACCAGTAACAATGATGGGTCTCGTTCTCCTAAAGAGCCTTGAATATAATCTCAGGGCTAGGATGAAGGAGATGTTACTGGGGCCTGCTCGAGGCAATCGACGAATAACAGGATGATTTGTGATTTGTGATTTGTTGTTGTTTTATTTCAGGTCATGTTCAGCAGTGCTCAGGGCTCACTCCTGGTTCTTTGCTCAGGGATCACCCCTGGAAGTTTCCAGGAGACAATATGGGGTGCCAGAGGTCAAACCTGAGTCTGTTGCATGCAAAGCCAAGTGTCATACCCACTGTACTACGTCTCTAGCCACTAATGTTAATGTTTTGGTTTGGGATACACACCCAGTGGTCCTCAGGGTTAACTCCTGGCTCAGTGCTCAGGGATCATTCCTGGTGGGGCTCAGGGGACCCTGTGAGGTGCTGGGGATCTAACCGCGGTTGGCTATATCAAACTGATAACACTAGCTTGGAACTGAGAGTTTAGAGGAGGTCAGAGAAATTGGGGCAGCAACAAAATCTCCCGCTTTGGGGCAGTGGGGTGGTAGTGGGGGAAGGTTTCTCTGGCTCAGCACCTGTGACATGGGGCTGAAACATCTTTACTGTAAGGGACTGTCCTGTGTGTTCTAGGATCTTCAGTGGTGTCTCTGGCTCTGCTTTCTAGATGCCAAAAGGTTCCCCTGCAAACTGTGACAACCCCCAAAGTCTCCAGATGTTGCTGAATGAATGCCCTGTGGTGGGGGTGGGGAGCAAAACCCCTGAAGGACAATAATTACGGAAGGTGCTTTACTGCCCTGGGATGTGTGGGTTCATGTGGGACTCTACAGTTCACCACATGGGATAATGGGGAGACCAGGGTCTCAGGTCATATTCCAGGTAGAGGTCAAACTGGACCCAAGGGCTTCTGTGTCTGCCCTTCCCCATGGGTCTCTCAGAACAGAAGGTGGAACCCAGAGGGCAAGCAAATGGTGCCCACATTCCTGGGGTACGCTACTTTACTGCCCTGCACTCCAACCCCATCTTATCTCTGAGTGCCTGAGGGGGTCTTGCCTCACCCCTCTGGATGCTGCAGGTGCCTGGTCCTGAGCTCCTGTGAACAGAAGCCCTGGGTGGGTTGGCAGGAGTAGATTGGAGCTCTAGCCTGCCCGCCGGGACCATAAAACTGCCAGCAGAGGTGAACGATGAGGCTCCCTGCCACAGACATCCACGGAGATGTGTGGCATGGGTGATTTAGGGCAAGGAGAGGGAGGGCAGGAGAAGGAAAAGCAGTCAGAGCCTCAAACAGAGACGGCAGAGGGGGACAGTGGGAGGAGAGGAGAAGCAGAGGCAGGGCAGCTGTGGATCAAAGGGAGTCCAAGACCAGGACAGAAAGACTCAGGAACTGTGAGAAAGGCAGAGACCAGAGACACACAGAGAGGGGAGCGGGGAAGGCCGGGACGTAGAGCAGAAAGAGCTAGAGAGCCTGAGATCAGACAGACCCAGAGAAAGACCAAGCCCGGAGCCAGCAGCAGGGAGGATACAGTCAGAATCCCCAGAGATGAGAGAGGCAGCCGGAGTCTGCGGTGTTCTGGTCTGTTTCCCCTTGCACCCCAAGCTGCACACGCATGTGTGTCTTTGCACACGTCCCCGCATGTCATGTCCTGGGGGCACAGTGTGTGTGACAGTGCTCGTGTACATGGCTCCACTCTCTCCCTGGTGGGGTGCCAGGCTCAGCCACAGGATGTGAGCACTGCAGAGGAAGCCTTGTCTGAGCCTCCTGCTTATTATCGCAGACAAGCAAACACTGGAGCTGGGCAGGGGTGGAGAGCTGAGCCGTGATCGGGAGCAGTGGGGCGCCCCCGGATCTGGTGGTCAGGGAAGGCCCCTTGGAGGGAATGAGCTTCCGTGGGAATGATGTCACTTCCATTTCGATAGGAGTGATGTCACCCAGGAGCTTGGGAAGATCAGGGCCAAATCCCACCAGGCAGAGGGAAAACCTCATGGTGAATTCGAGGCTGAGAAAGGAAGCTGGGGGTGGGGAGTGGGGTGTGCTGGACAGGAAAGGCAGTTAGGACGGGCTGGTAAGACCAAGGGACGGATGCAGGGCTAAGTCTAAGGGGATGAGCAGTGGGATGGTAGCCCTGGAGGGAAGTCAAGGGACGCAGATCTGGAAAGATCTGGAGGGTTTCTGAGTGGGACAGGGTGGGAGGCTTCTGTAACAGTCCCAGGAGGAAGTGGGAATGTGTGCGCATGTGTGTGCATGTGTGTGCAAGTGTGCACGCACATATGTATGTGTGCTTGTGTGTGTGTGTGTGTGTGTGTGTGTGTGTGGCTCGGGTGAGGGTAGGAAGTGGGATGATGTGGGTTCAGTTAATGTCTGAAAGTAGACTTGACCAGATGGAATTGGCATGACGAGGAAGAGAAAAAGCCAAGGAATGACTCCAAGGGTTTGGCCTGAGCATGTGAATGAATTGTGGTGGCATTTACCAGAACGAGGCAGACAGGAGAAGCTGACCTCTGGGAACAATTGTGTGTGCACTGGTGAGCACTACAGCAAGGCCCAGATGTGCACAGATACATGTGGGTGTTCAGAGCATCCCTGCATGGCCGTTGTCACCACAGGGGGCTCTTGGGTTCAACCTGAGCCCCAGCTCATCTTTGCTCTTCCCTCCCCTTGTCCCAGGTGCTGCCCCTGTCAGGTGGAGTGTCCCCAATGGCCAGCTGGGATGTGGGGGTTCAGATATCTGGGCATGTTCCCTATCCCGGGCATGTTCCCTATCTTAGGAGCCCCATTGGGGCCCCTCCTGGCTGTGGCAGGAAGGCACCAGGGCAGCTGGTGGCCATTAGTAGCGTTGATTACTTCGTGGTAGTGCCACATGGGGTAACGGCTCTGAGACCATGGGACAGCCTGCTTACGAGCTTCTGGGTACTAACTCAGTAAATGTATCAGTAGCCCTGAACGTTTGTGGGTCTGTGTGTGTGGGGGGGGGTCTGTGTGTGTGTATATGTATGTGTCTGGGGGGGGCTTCTGTGAGTGCTGAGTCTGTGCGACCCGTATCATGTGTAAGCATGTGCTGCGGGTTGGTGGGTGTTTCTGCAGGCAGGTATGATTCTGTCTGTGGGCCCATATGTGTTTCTGCCCATTATGTGTGCCCCAAGAGCCCCGCCCCTCTCTTTGGGTATGTGCTGGGATTTATTTCTGAGGTTCGCCTTTGCCGAGAGTATTCGATATGCCAGACACAGTAACAACAAAGTCTCCAATGGAGACGTTACTGGGCTCGCTCAAGCAAATCGACGATCAACGGGAGGGCCTTTGCCTTTTTTTCGCCTTTGCCCTCACATGCGGTGCTGTGTATTGGTGTCATGTGTGTGCATGTGTCTGTGTTCCTGGGGAGTCTACGTCCTGGTGTCAGGAGACGGTGCCCTGGTATGTGGTCTCCTGGTTTCTGGGTTCCTGTGTGGGGAGCTCCACTGGACTCGTGTCTGGGTGGTGCCTGTGACAGTGGAGCCAGCCAGAGGGTGAGTCCTGGACTTGGCTGCTCTGGTCAGCACCTTGGAGGCTGTGTGAAGGCGTCTGCATGTCTCCTTCTCAGCTTCCTCCCTCCCTGCCTCTGCTGTTGGGGCTGGGGTTGGCGGGGAGGAAGGGAGTGCGGCTCCCGGCTCCCGATGGCACACTGGCTAGCAGTTGTGCTGTGAGTGCAGGCTCGCTGGCAGGGTCCCTGCCACCCTCCACCGGCCTTGTGCTTGGGGGCGAATCATGTGCTTGTCCCTAGGTCCAGGTGTCCCCACCTGTGGGATGAGAAGAGCAATTCCCTCTCCTGGAAAGCAGCCTGTCTCCATTGACTGTGATTTGGTGGAGAGTTTTTTTTTTTTTAATTTAAGTCTGGGAATGCTATTACCATTATTTTATATGGAAAAAATCTTGAATCTCCCCAGACCCAAAGTCCTCCACTTTGGGAAGGCAGCGGAGCCTGTGAGGATGGCTGTCTCCAGATTGGGAGGAGGCTGTGGTTAGTCCACAGACCACTGGACTGTGAGTCTGTATTTCCCAAGTGTTCGCCAGGGAGCAGCTACTAGAAAGACCCCTCCTCACCCCCCCCCCCCCGGCCCCTCCGCTTCTTGTGTGCTGAGCTCAGCACTTCCCTGTCCCACCCCCATTGATGCTGCCACAGCTGGGGCGTGACCACATCTGGGCTGCCTCCGAGCAGGGACCACAGTGGGCGCCTCTGAGGCCTGGTTGGGGTTTCCGCTGACTCAGCGCTGCTGGTTCCTAGGCGGGAAATCCCAGACTCCCCCTCACCCTCTTGGGGTTAGATGAGGCTCCACTGTGTGACTTCCACAGGACTCTACACAGACAGACAGACAGACAGACAGACAGACACACACACACACACACACACACACACACACACACACTCAGTGGCCCTCCTGTCATCCCCATCCATTCCTGCTGCTCAGGACTCTCTTGAACCCATTTCTCTGCAGGCCCTTGACCTAGGTGACGATTCTGTGCTTCCAGGGCAGACCCTGGGAAGGATGGCCTTGACCATCTCCTTGGGACATGACCAGACCCATTCCCTGCTCCTTCCCCTCAGAGGTCAGCTGCCCTCCGGTGCTCTGACTAGAAAGGACCCCTCCCCCACCCTGGCCTCCCAGTATGATGACAGTAGCAGTGGTCAGTGGTGTCCCAGCAGGGCCCTGGAAAGGACTTCTGCAGACTTGGCAACCCGCTCCTCTTGCTCTCCGGGTCCCTGTGAGAGTCCCCTCTGGCCTGGGGGACAGAGGACTAAGGGGACAGGCTGGGTCCACTTCTCTGGAAATGCAACCAGAGCAAAAGGGTTACTGGAGGGAAGAGGGGGGCTTCCCCCAATTCAGCCTGCTGGAGGAACAGACTAATTGGAAACGGAGGCTGAGAAACTGGAAAAAGCTGACCAGGAGGCTTGAGCAGGAGCCACGTCAAGGATGCCAGGGATCTGGGGGAGAGGGTCCCCCCCCTTCCTGGAGGCCTGGCCAGGGAAGTAGAAGGGGGTGGCACGGGAGGCCCTTCAAACTCCAGGCCTGGTTCTTAAAGGGCCGGACTCCCCGCCCACCCGCTGGCCGCCAGAGCCCCCTCCAGGGCAGCTCTGGGCACGCAGGGTCCCGCCTGGCGCCCCGGGCCGCTTGCTCACCTGGGCAAGTGGGAGGCGGCCTGGGAGCGCGGCCAGGCCTGTAGCGCGCTGTGCAGCGGGGCTGTGGGTGCGCGGGTCCCGCCGCCACACCGGAGACCCCGCGGCCCGCCTCCCTCCTCCCGCCCAGCGGGCGGGTCCAGCTGTGTTCCATTAGGGCCTGGCAGGTCCCCAGGCCCCTGGAGCCGCCCCCTCATCCCCCACCGGCGCGGCGTGGCCGGCAGTCCCCGCAGGCAGGCGCGCGCAACAGCGCAGGGCAGCATTCAGCCCTAAGATCTCCGGGACAGGGGCAAGCTGGGGACCCCGTGGCTGGCGGGGAGTGACCGAGGACCCTCCCCAGCGGGCCTGAGGAAGTCAGGCCCCCTCCTCCTGATTGGCTGTGCTGGACTGCCCGGATTACTCAGTGAAGTAGGGGGACCCCAGCCAGCTCGGGTAAGTGAGATGGAGGGGCTGCTGGAAGGCCCCGCCCGGATGTGCTGTGTGACCTGGGGCAACTGTCACTCTCTCTCTGGATCTCTGCTTCTTTCCTTTTAGGAGGTAAGCTCTGGCTGGACTCACTCTAGGTCCGACTTCCTACTCCCAAATCTGTACCTTAGGCTGAGGTGGCCTCACCTTGGAGTTTCTCTCCTTCTAACCCTGAATACCACCGCCCCTCCCCACCCACACACCTCTCTGAGGCTGGGGCAGTGGAGGCTGGAGATAAGGAGCAGGACGGAACCAGGTCCACACGGATGTTCACGCCCCCACATGCATCCACATGCCTCCCCCATGTCGGCAGCCCTACCACTGGCTGGAGACCAGGATAGGGCTTGAGAGACAGAGGTGCGCATCACTAGGATTTCAGGGGGTGGGGGACAGGGGAGGCAATTCTTCCCTAAAATAAGGGGACGCAGGGGGCTGTTTCAAGATGTCTTAATATGGGGGTGCGGTCCTGTCCAGGACTCAGGGAGCTGGAGCAGTACAGCTGGAGGGAATGAGGTCAGACTGGCATAAGGACTTCCCAGTAAGAGGCCTCCTGCCGGGGGCCCTGGCTGGCCCTGTGCACACACATGCAGGCTGGCACACTGGAGGTCTCAGGAGCACACGTGTCCCCGCATACCTGTGCATGTGCAGGTCATTTCATGAGAACAGCGTGGCACAAATGTCCGTGTGTACGTGCCTGTGGATCTCTGCCCTGTGCCAACACATGCATGCCTGTATGTGTGCGTGTGCGCGCTGCCTGTCTTCGAGACAGCCAGATGATGTATGGCTCAGCTGGCCGCTTGCTGAGCCTGTATTGATTTATCTGCACCCATTCATCAGGGTTTAATAAAACTAAAAGACGAGCATCCATCAGCGGCGGAGGTTGGCAACGAGGTCCTGGGCCCCAGTGACCTGCTCTCCCACCCGCTGTACCTGTGGGGGAAGCTTCCTTGGACCCCGCACAATTCTATGATGCCTGCCAGGACACTCAGCCCTTGAGGGTGCTTGGCAGGGCTACCTGGCTGGGCCGCATGCTGCCAGCCAGGTACCAGGCCTGTATGTACCAAGACAGAGTGCAAGCTGATAAAATGCTGAAAAGGTTCCAAGCGCCTTGGTAACTAATCTCAGCCTCTGGCCCTCTCGCTCTCCCAGCTGATCCAGCCTTTAGGATCCTGTAGCTCTCTCGTCCAGCAGTATCTGCCCCGATTCGGTGTTTCTGCAATGTTTTCCTCTAACTGGCCAGTGCCTGTACTACACTGGTGGTCAAATATTTTGAATAGCACCCTGGCCCAGGCCCAGATCCTAACCCAAGACCTGCAGTTGGGCCTTGGGGAGGTGACAGCTGGCCAGATGCTCTACTGCCTGAAGCCAGTGCCCACGCCCCACAGGCTGGCCACTACTTGCCCAGGAGTGGAGCTGGGATGTGTGGTCAGAAACCACTTCCTAGACTCTCTGCTTTCCAGGTGCTGCGGCTGGGGCCTTCCTCTGAGGGCCATGATGTGGGCATCTTGGGCTCCTAGCTTGTGGCTCCTCGGGCTCTGGGCCACCTACAGCCATGGGACAGATCCAGGTGAGATGACCTGGGAGCATGGGGGTGTCCCAAGCCTGTGACTGGCTCCTTGAGGTGCGGGGATCCTGGGTCCATATGCCATTGTGTGCCTGAGCCACGTGGACTTTCACTTATAGGACAATCGGGGCATCTCTGGGGTTTGCATGTACTGACCTGAACTCTCATGCTCTGAGCTCTATGCTTCTGTCTGCATGGTTGTATGTCTCTGAGTCTCTCTGTTTGCCTCTCAGAGCTGCTCCGTGCATCAGTACCTATCCCTACCTCTCTGTGAATGAGAGAACCGCCTACACACTAAATCCAGCCTGTTCACCCCATATGGTTTGGGCTGGGGGTATGTGTGTAACTTCCTTTCAGAAGGAAGTTCTGGCATGAAAAAGGCTCTGTGCTCACCGGTCTTCCTCCTAGTGGAGAATCCGTCCACAGCTTATTGCTCCTGCTCTGCCATGGCTGGCGGTGGATAAAGGGCCCGCCCTGAGGCTCAGACGCTGGATGGGACAGAGGGTGCAGCTTTCCAGGGCCCAAAGCCAGAGGAAGTTGACTAGGCAACTTGCCCTGCTTTGCTGGGTGCCCTTGGGGCTCAGGAGCTCAGCCTCCCAGTTGATCAGAACAGAACTTCTAGAATCAAAATCTAGCCGACAGGAAGCAGAGAAACTAAGGCCCAGATGCAGTCCTGTCTGCATTCGGGTGCATGCGATTATCTGCTGGCCGTGTGTCTGCATATGTGTTTCTGCCTGCGTGTGTGTGTGTGTGTGTGTGTTGCTCTCTCCGATAGGTTCCCTGGGGGTTGGGGCAGAGCATTTCAACATCTGTAAGGAATCTGGGCCCATTGCCAAGGGGTGAGTCACCCATTGCTGCTGCCGATGCCAAAGACAGTGATAGTCTTTCTGTCCAGACCTGGGGGAGGAGGCTTGAGCGGGGTCACCGGGCCTAACAACCCCAGCTTTCTTCCTCGGGTGAGGCAGCCAGGAAGGCCAACGCCCCGCTTCTAGGAGCTCCACTCCCCGTTGTATCCCAGCTGTGTTGAGGGCAGAGCCTTCCCACCCCTCTCTCCTGGAGGAGAGGACACCTCTTCCCAACACAGTGGGCTCAAAGGAGTCAGGCCCCCAGCTGCCACACAGACCCCCTTAGCGGTTTGGAAACCTGCATCAAATGCCCCCTTGCCTGTTAGCTCCTGCAGATGCCCTGTCTGGAGCCCTGCAGGTTCTCTTGAGTTTGTGGTCCCCTTGGACCCTAACTCTTCTCAATACTGCACAATCGACTGACTCAGGTGAAAAGTGTGCTGTTGGCTCAGGCTGGAGTCTAGCCTTCTTGTCTGTGTTGAATGGGAAGAAGAACCCCACCCACCACTGACAACCCCTACAGCAGCTGTGTGTAGTTGGTAACAGGGACTCCCCCAGCTCACAGCCGGTGACAGGGATTCCCCAAGACATGCAGAGGCACCTGTATTGGCCCCAGGAGACCTTTCCTCGCCCCTGAAGTGCTCCTCCTCTACCTCCCATGTGGGTATCCCCATGTTGGGGGTCCATCCCCTGCTCCCCAGCCCCTCTGAGTTCCGGCACTGCTGCCCAGAGCTTCTTCCTTGCATGCTCTCATGGCTGGGCTTGAGGATGTGGTTTCCAAGGGATCCTGCTCCCTTGTAAACTTGCTTGTGGCCCTGAGCCACCACATAGCCTCTGGGCCTCAATCTTCCCATCTGCCTATGGAAGGTCCCGGTTCCCAGGGAAGCCAGAGGCCAGGGCAGGCAGGGAGAGCTTGGCTCAAGGAGTGGAGCAGGAAGCAAACTTGCTCCTTCCCAGGTTCCCCTGGAGCCTGGCTGTGCAGGGAGGGCAAGCGTCAGCCCCCGGTGCCCCGCGTCCACTGTTTTCCAGGTGAAAAGTGCCCTTCATCTCAGCAAGAAGGACTCAGGTTGGAACACAGAAGTGACTTAACCAACGTGACTGGTGCGTTCTCCTCTCCTTCCGCCATCCTCCCCTCTGCCATCTATCTTCCCGGGGGTGGAGGGCTGTACCCTCCTCTCCTTGCCCTCTTCATTTGTTGTTCCCCTGCAGGCTTCAACCTCATCCGTCGACTCAGTCTCCTGAAGACATCTGCCATCAAGAAGATTCGAAACCCCAATGGGCCTCTCATCCTGCGCCTGGGGTCAGCCCAGCTCACCCAGCCCACAAGGTAAAGGTGCCAGGGCGACTGCTGTGGTCCACGGCAGACCTCAGTCACACTCCCACGCCCCTTGGAATGAGGGGCTGAGTTCCAGGGGCTCTCCTGTGGGGCACTTTATCCCGTCCCCCACCTCCAGAAATGAACCCAGACTCTCCCTTGCCACCGGAGATTTGTAGGATCAGCAGGGAGGCATGCCCAGTGGCCCTACTCTGGAGGAGGGAGGTAGGTCAGTCTCCTGTGGGCACCATGAGGAACCAGCACAAGAGAGAATGTGGCAAGAGTGGCTATGTGTGGGCCAGAGAGGTAATGCAGAGGGTAGGGTGCTTGCCTTACAAGAGGCCGATCTCAGTTTGATCCCCATATGGTCTCCAGAGCACCATCGGGAGTAATTCCTGAGTGCAGACCCAGGATTAACCCCTGAATATTGTCTAGTGTGCTCCCCCTCAAAAAAAAAAAGAGTGGCTATACGTGTGTGTGTGTGTGTGCATGTGCACACATATACATATATGTGTGCACACATGCCCTGTGTATAAATGCGCAACCTTACAGTGCCAGGAAGACCTAGCACCTCTCACCTCTTCAACCTCTTCTCTGGAAATGTTCCTTTATCTTTATCTGCTGCATTCGTTTTCTTTCCAGCCATGCCAGACTCTTTCTGTCACTTTTCAGTGTCCCTTCTCCACCCACCCTGGCCATGTCAGGGTCCCCAGAGCCTCCTGGCATCCTGGAAAACACTCCCCAGAGTTATAATAGGGCTGGGGATGGGATTCACGCCTTGCAGAGGCGAGACCCTGGGTTTGAGCCCCCAGTACTACAAAAAAAAAACTGAGAACACAAGGCCAGTCCTGACTTGGAGCATTGGGGTGGGTGTTCTGGGGTTCTTTGTGGCTTTGCACACACCCTCCGAGCCCCACTCAAAGGTTCCAGGAGGGCAGTTCCCTTCTCTGTCTCACCATGCTTATGGCCAACAGTGCCCTGGCATGGCTGCAGGGTGCTGGATGGGCACACGTGTAGGAGGGGAGGCTGGGACCACCTTGTGCAGCATCGAGGGTCCTGTTGCCAAGCATCTGGCCCTCCCTGTTCTTGCCTGCAGACGCGTGTTCCCCCGGGGTCTGCCCCAGGAGTTCACCCTGGTCTTGACGCTGCTGCTCAAGAAACACACCCACCAGAAGACCTGGTATTTGTTCCAAGTGACGGATGCGGAGGGGTACCCACAGGTGAGCCAGGACCCCCAGTTCCAGCTCCTGACTGTCCTGCCCTCTGGGGTGCCAGCCTCAGAGCCACCCAACTCGCCAGCACTGAGGCCATTTGTCCAGCTGGACCGCCCGGGGACCCCAGCCAGCTTCTTCCCCTCTGGCGCAATGAGCTTGTAGATCCTTAAGTTGGCCAGGTGGCAGCCTCGGGGCTCTGAGCATCAACATGGCCCCTTGTCCATCCCCACCAGATTTCCCTGGACATCAACAGCCAAGAGCAGAGCCTGGAGTTCCGCGCCCTGGGCCGAGACGGCGACTTTGTGTCCTGCACCTTCCCGGCCCCTCAGCTCTTCGACCTGCGCTGGCACAAACTCATGCTGAGCGTGGCTGACCGGGTGGCCTCCATGCACCTGGACTGCACCACAGCCTCCTCCCAGCCACTGGGTCCCCGGCGCCCCGTGAGGCTGGGGGGTCACGTCTTTCTGGGCTTAGATGCTGAGCAGGGAAAGCCCGTCTCGGTGAGTGCCTGGTGGGATGTCTGCTTCCTGGGAGTCCGGGGGAACCTTCTGGAGTGCCTGTCTGCCTGGACCCTTCCCTTCCCCACTGCCCCCCACCCTACTTCGGCATCCAGCCTGTTCTGGTCTGTCCCCTGGGACTCCTGCCCTCTCCACACGGAGCACTGCTTGGTCCCAAGGCTTCCGTTGCCCTGCGTCATGTGTGTCTCCTGCTACCTTCCTGGGAACGCTTTCTCTGAAGATCCCACCACCAAGTAGCTTCTGGGCAAGGCCCAGTGGGAAATGAACCTGAAACCGTTCCTCTGGGCCAGAGGGAATATTTCTCCCATTTCTCCCTCTTACCTGGCATCCTGTTTCCTTTTGCTTTTTTTTTTTTTTTTTGCAGGGGCGGGGAGCAGGTAGGAGAGGGGGCATATTTGGCAGTGCTCAGGGCTTACTCCCGGTTCTCCTCAGGCGTCACTCCTGGCAGGTCTTGGGGGACTTCATGGGGTGCCAGGGATTGGACCCAGGTGCCTCCCTGAAGTACTATCATATCGCTCCAGCCTGTGTTTCCTGCTGCTTTGGGTGTCGGTTGTCTTCCTGACCTTCTCCCAGCCCAGAGTGGGGGTCCGGTCCTGGGCCTGAGCTCTGCGTATGCCTGATGGGGCCACGCCCCCCCCCCCCCCCCCCCGTGTGAGGGCGTGAAAATGACACGCATGTCCCTGCAGTTCGACCTGCAGCAGGCTCATCTCTACTGCGACCCGGAGCTTGTGCTGGAGGAGGGCTGCTGCGAGATCCTGCCCGAAGGGGTGAGTGGCCCGCCGGGCCCAGCCAACAGATGGGAAAGCGCTGCCTCGAGATCTCAGAAAGTGGCTGGGTCCGGGGGTGGGGATCTGCCTTTGGACTGACTCCAGCCCTTCCCCTGCACTGAACAGTGCCCCCCAGAGACCTCCAAGGCCCGCCGAGATACCCAGAACAACGAACTCATAGAGATCAACCCACAGACCGAGGGCAAGGTCTACACTCGCTGCTTCTGCCTTGAGGAGCCTCAAAGAAGCAAGGTCAGTGGGCAGGACCGGTGGACATGGGCAGGGTCCTAGGCTTCCCTCAACGGACTGAGGTCTGCCCCAGGGTCAGTGCTGTGCACATGCACATGTGTGTGTGGTGTATGTGTGTGTATGGAGAGGGTGGTGAGGTGTGTGTGTGTGGGGGGGGGGTGTTCCAAGCCCTGCCCTCCTGCACCACCCCATCGATAGGACTGGGAGAAGTAAGAAGACAGCCCACAGGAGCAATTGACACTGAGGTACCAGGTTCTCAGTGGTACCCCCCAGACACTTCTGTGGAGCTCAGACCAGACTGGCATCCACTGAACAGGGCTACCTAGAGATAGGCCACTACAGACTTGCCCAGCCTGGCCCTGGTAAATGCCAGACTTTTCCTACACCCAGAGCCAGGACCAGCTGGGACTTTTAGCAGTGGTGGGGAAGCCCTGTTCTCCCCTCGTCCTGCCCCTGCTGGGCAGCCTCCCTGCGCCCTGGGCATCATGCCGAGCCTCTGGCCGCAGGGACACAGGGGCCCATTGATTCAGGGTCTTGTTTTCTCTGACACCACGTGGGTAGGGGGAGGAGGAACCTGTGTGCCAGGGGCCCACGGAGTCGTTGATGGCCTGGGACTGCCAGCTGTCAGGCTGAGAAGGACATGAGTCCACACCTCTGCCCGGACGCCTCATCCCAGCACAGGCCCAGAACTGTCCCCTGCCCAAGAATCCCCTTTTTTCTCTCTCTGCCCAGGTGGACACACAGCTGGCGAGCAGGATCAGCCAGAAGGCAGAATGGGGGACGAAGGTAGATCTGGAGGGTAGGCGACGAGCCTGCTGTGCCCTCCACCTGCCCTCTGTGCTCCTTACACCGCCAGTGAGATGCTTTCTTCCCACGCTCTCCCTGCCCGCTCCTGGTCAGCACCCCTGGATATGTGGGCGCCAGCGCAGAGAAGGGAGTGTTAGGGGCAGACAGACATAGTGGCACACTCTGATGCCTTGCTCCCGTGGTGGTCCCCTGGCCTTGGTCCTTCCTGTACTTCCCCATCCTACTTGTTGCTTCCCAGATCTCATGCTACAGTCCCCAATTATGTGATTTCCAGCTGTGGCCCCATTGGGGTTTCCTAGGGGCCCACAGCAGGGTCTGTGCCCTGGCTGAGAAACACGGGGCTGGAACCCTCATTCCTGGGTGTCTCGGGGAGGGCTGTTGGAATGTCCTGTTCCCAGCCCATCCCCATGTCCTTCCTCCCAGGCCCAGCAGGAGGCAGCGGCCAGTGAGGTAAGTCTCCCCCTTGGACTGGCAAAAAGACTCAGCTGAGGAGGGCCAGCACCCACCCTTTGGACAAGGCTTGGGGTGGTGGAGCCTGGGTGTGGGGGTGTAGGGTGACACCAGAGTTCCTTGGGGTCTGAGCTGGTGCCGCTGTCTCTCCTGAGCACAGGTGGGCACTAGCGGCACCGTGCAACCCAGGTTCGGGTCTCACTCTGTCGGACTGCTGTGTGACCCCGGCCTGCTGCCTTCTCTCTCTGAGCTGGTGGCTTTGGGGATGGAGGAGGCTTGATGGAGAGGAATTCTGTCCTTCCACTCACCTCCCACCCTGGCCTGGAGCATGACTGGGGGAGCGTGAGGGGGCGGGAAGGCAGCTCCTGGAAACTTCTGTCTGGCTTGTTTCTCCTTTTCAGTGCCCACCCTGTGTGCTGGGTGCCCGGGAGAGCAATGTGAGTGAGTGAACAGCGTGCACGGGGCTGGGAAGGGGCGTGGCCATGAGGTCTGTGGCAGCTTCCTGCTGGAGGACAAGGGGGTCTTTGTATCCTTTCATTCCCCCTCCAGCCCATCCCCCAGAGCTGAGCTTGACCCCCACCGCATGCTTCCGAGCCCCCCCACCCTGTGGGCCGGGGCCTGGTGGGTGGCTGGTCAGATGAGGCCCCTGATGCCCAGCCCAGCTTGGCAGCCCACGGGCCTCAAGGTTTTCCTGACCTGTAGGCCCGAGGGAGGGCCAGGACCGGCTGAGGCTGATGAGAGCCCACTCTGGCCCCCAACACACATGTGGGCCAGCCCCCCTCTGCCCTGGCCCTGGTCCAGCCTTCTTCTGGGGTCCAGAAGGACACGGGAGAGGAATCAGTGCAAGCCCAGCTGGCCCCCAGCTCTGCCTCTTTTGTGGGCATCCGTTACTTTTCATGACCTGCTTTCATCCTCAAGAAACTAAGCCCCGTGGTGGGGGCATCAGGAGGTCCACCCCCCTCTGTGTCTGTACCTCTCTCTGCCCAATCTTCCTATGAAATCTGGTGACACTGAGGGTCCCCAGATGCACAGCAGTTACCATGGTAACCGAGCAGCCCTGATAGGCTTGCAGCTGGGGGTGGAGCTAGCCCAAAGCAGGCAGGTTAGCGAAGGTGGGTCTGGGGGGCGGGAGGGCGGGGAAGGGAGGCTGACAGCCTCAGGAGGCATGCTGCTTCTCCCAGGAGGCAGGCAGGGATGGACAGTTAGTCCAGCCACCCGCTGTGTGATCCTGGCAACATCCTCGCCCTCTCTGGCCCCTGCTGTTCTCTCTCTCTTCCTGGGGTATAATGCTCTCTTCTTTTCCTCTCAGGTCACAGTTGGTCCCTCTGGCCCGAAGGTAAGTGGTGGAGAACAAGACACTCGGCCCTTCCTGGTGGCCCAGCCCACCTCACAGCAGATGCTGTGTGTGCAGGAGAAGAAGGGGGCTGTGTGTATAAGAGAATGTTTCGCTGCCTTTCCCAAAGCCCTACCAGGCCAGGCCTGAGCCAGGGTGCCCACTACGACCCCAGCCCCCTCCAACACCTCAGGGGAAGCTGGGGCCCAGCCATGACCGCAGGTATGAGTGTGTCAGTGGGTGTATATGTCACCACCCACATCTCTGGGACACACTGCATGTGTGTGCTCATTGCATGTGTGTGTGTGTGTGTGTGTGTAAACTCACACACAGCAGCCTGACAGCTACATCAGAGCCCATACATGAAGGGCCTGTCTATGACAGGCAGAGGTGGAGCTTTCCCATGAACGTTGACAGTACCCAACTCTGTGCCTGACTCTGTGCCCGACTCCTCTGTGCCCAAATCTGTACCTGGCTCTGTGCCCAGCTGTGCCCGGCTCCATACCCGGATCTGTGCCCGGCTCTATGCCCAGATCTGTACCCAGCTCTGTGCTCGGCTTTGTTTTTTTTCTTTTTGGGTCATACCTGGAGGTACTCAGGGGTTACTCCTGGCTTTGCACTCAGGAATTACTCCTGGCAGTCAGTGCTCAGGGGACCATATGGGATGCTGGGATTCGAACCCGGGTCGGGTGCGTGCAAGGCAAACGCCCTACCCTCTGTGCTATCACTCCAGCCCCTGTGCCCAGCTCTGTACCGACCTCTGTGCCTGGCTCTGTGCCCAACTCTGTTCCCGGCTCTGTGCCCATCTCTGTGTCCACACTCTGCCCGTAGCATCCCATTTCTTCCTAACTACCGTTTTGTGAGGTTGGTGCTGACAGGAACCTCATTTTACTGTTGGAGGAAACGCTTTCAGAGCTCAGAGGCCACATGACTCACCCTGAGTCAGGGGGCCACTTCCACCTTCTCCTGTGTGCCCATGCGCCCCTGACTGGCATGCTGGGGGAGGTGGGGGGCAAAGCTACCCTCCCCTGACCAGCCAGTTGCCAAATAGGGCCTGTGGGGTGGGAGGGCTGCGGACACCTGTGGATTCCCTCTGCAGACACGCCGAGCACTAGCTTGGGGAGCCCTTCCTCAGGGCTCCCCTTTGCTCTCCGTTCCCAACCCCCATCTCTTGGTCTCCTGCGCAGGGCGGGAAAGGTGAGAGGGGCCTACCAGGCCCCTCAGGCCTCAAGGGAGAGAAGGGAGCCCGGGTAAGTGCTGCACCCCACCCCCTGAGGTCTCTCCTCCATACCCTGGGGTGGGCTGGGGGGTCAACCCCGTCCTCTCAGCCCCAAATCTGCAGCCTGGCCCACAGGCAGGGGGGGAGTAGGGTCTGAGGTCTCTCCGGTGGGTTATATGTGGAAACTCCTTTTATCGGGGACACGTGGGACTCCAGGACTCCTAACACGTGCCTGTCACTCTTGTCCCCCCGTTCAGGGCAGTGACTGTGTTCGAACTTCCCTGGATGCGCCACTCCAGGTAAGAGCCTCTGCAGGAAGGGCAGGGACAGCCCTGGGGAAGGGCTACCCGGCCTGCTCCGACTTCCCATCTGCCTGTCTCCTCACTCAGTGCGCAGAAGGTCCCAAGGGAGAGAAGGGGCAGGTGGGAGCAATGGTAAGTGCAGTGCAGGGCGGTGGCCGTGTGGGGGTCTGGTCCCACTCCCCTTCCTCCCCTCACCCCTTCATTGTGTCCTGCCCTTGCCTTAGGGCCCCTCCGGACTCCCGGGCTCCACGGGTCAGAAGGTAACGGGACTGGAGGTGGAGGGTCGGCTGGTGGGTGGAGGGGAGCTCTGGGGTCCTGCAGACCAGCCGGGGAAACCCTCAGTGGGGGTGGACACAGAGTGGACAGTCTTCTCAACCCTCCATTCCTGCCTGCCTGGAGCGGCGTAGCCCTGGCGGCTTGAATCTCTTCCTGCCACCATTTGTGTCACTGGGTGATGGAGACCACGGGTCTGGGGGGCAGGTGTCCCATCACTCACCTCTTCCTCCCCCAGGGCCAGAAAGGCGAGATGGGGGCCGGCGGCATCAAAGGCTCACCCGGAAAGCCAGGCCGAGATGTGAGTGCATGGGCCTCACCACCCATCCCCACCATGACCCCACATCCCCACCGTGACCCAACATCCCACTGTGAACCCACATCCCCACTGTGATCCCGCATCCCACTGTGATCCCACATCCCACTGGGAACCCATATCCCCACTGTGAACCCACATCCCACTGTGACCCCGCATCCCACCATGATCCCGCATCCCACTGTGACCCCACATTACCCCATGGCCCACACCTCCCCTGTGACCCCCATATCCCCACAATGAAACCTACCTCCCCACTGTGGCCTCCCCCTCTCTACCGTGATTCCCCATTCCCCCACCATGACCCCCACATCCCCACTGTGACCCCCAGGGTCCCACCGTGATCTCTACCTCCCCACCTCCCCACTCCCCCTGTGACCCTCCACATCCTCCCATGACCCCGATAAACCCCTATGACCTCCACATCCCCACAGTGAACCCCACCCCCCACCGTGATCCCCTTGTCCCCCCATGCCCACTGTGACCCCCAGGTCTCTACTATGACCCCCACTTCCCCACTATGACCCCCACATCCTCATCGTGACCCCCTTCATATTCACCGTGACCCCCACGATATGGTTCTGATAAGGCCCCCCATGTCCTCACTTCCCCCCTGGACCCCCAACCCTTTCCCCCATGACCCCTCTTCTCCCCTTCCCGCCTTCCTCCAGTGGCCCTCTACTCCCTCCCTCGGTGAGCCCCTGCCTAGGATCTTGAATGCTGGGATGTGACCCTCAGAAGACTCAGGGGGACGGGAGGGGAGGTGTGGGGGAGGGCAGAAAAGACCCCAGGTTCCTAGGCTGATGTTTGGTGGCTGGAGTCTGGCTCTGTCGGGCAGTGAGGGTGGGCAGGTGGGTACTGGCCTGCCCCAGTGGGGGCTGCAGCCAGGGGCAGCCAGGCCTTAGGCCCTTCCTATATCTACACCTTCCAGGGCCGGCCAGGAGAGATCTGCATCATGGGGCCCAAGGGGCAGAAGGTAAGCTGGGGTGTCTGTGGGGGAGAGGAGGTGAGCTGGGGTGTAGGTGGGGAGGAGAGTGGGTGAGCTGGGGTTTCTGTGGGAGGAGAGTGGGTGAGTTGGAGTGTCTGAGGGTGAGCTGGGGTGTCTGTGGGGGTGAGGGGGTGAAGCAGCAGCTCTTTGACGCCCACCCCCATCCCAACAGGGAGACCCCGGCTTTCTTGGGCCTGAGGGGCTGGCAGGAGAGCCTGGCCCCCCCGGCCTCCCTGGGCCCCCTGGAATAGGACTTCCTGGGACCCCGGTGAGTACCCCCGTCCCTTCTGCACCAAGAGCTGAGCTGAGGCTCAGGGTGGGGGTCCTGCTGGGGTGGGGTGGGGTGAGAGCACATCCAGCTCCATCTTGAGACCATGGGAAGCCTCCTCCTGACCCTATTTCTGCCCTCAGGGGGACCCTGGTGGCCCTCCCGGCCCCAAAGGAGACAAGGTAAGCACTGGCAGGAGTGTAGGATGGGCGGGAAGGAAGGGGCTCCCTGCTCGTGGGAGGAGAGAGGGTGAGGATTGGGCAGCAGGTACAGGTCGGGAAGAGGGAGACGATATTTGCCTGGGCCCAGTTAGGCTGCTGTGGAGTGGCTCTGTGGGGTGTTGCTATGGGGTATTGCTTTGGGGTTGTACTGTGGGCTGTTGCTTTGGGGTTGTACTCTGGGGTGATCTGCGGGGTTGTACTGTGGGGTGCTGCTTTGAGGTTGTACTGTGGGATGGTGCTGGGGGTGGTGCTGTGGCCCATCCCGTGGCAGACGTGGGAGCCTTAGCGTGGGTGCCAGGCCTGGGCACGGACAGATCTGAGTCTTGGAGGAACCAGAGAGTGGCCTTAGCTGGCACCGCTCATTTTTGGAGCCTGGTGAAGCAGGTCCTGGAAATGCCTCTGCTGCTGATTCTGGGGCCTCTGGCTTCCTCTTGCTCAGGGAAGGGACTGCAGAGGCCTCGGGTTCTCCTTCTTTTGTGATCAGGTGACCCGGCCCAGGCGTGGGCAAGGATAGGCTGTGGGGGAAGTCTGTGGACCCGATACTGAGAGACTGAGCGAGACAGGCCTGCCCTTCTGGGTGGGGCAGGACGGCTCGGTGAGGCAGGGCACTGCCACTGATGCACCTCCCAGTAACCCCCTCTCCCTCCACAGGGCAGCTCCGGGACACCGGGAAAGGAAGGGCCTGGTGGGAAGCCTGTGAGTGACCCCAACTCCATGGAGGGGGTGCGGGGGACTCTCTGCATAGACTACCCAGAGCTGATGGAGGCTCAGGCCTCTCCTTAGCACCGCTTCTTCTCCAACAGGGGAAGCCAGGGGTGCCCGGGCTGAAGGGGGAGAAGGTGAGTTTTGTGGTGGGGTGAGGGGGGCATGGGAACCTCTCTGTGTAGGTGTCCTGGGCCTCCGGGGGCCCTCCTGTCCCTTCTCTGTCCCTAAGTGGTCTGGTGGGGAGTTGGCCGGGATTGGCCTCCCCGAGCACCCCCCCCCCCCCAACATGATTTATGGATTCACAGAGTCTCCGCCAGAGTTTCTGCAGCGAGAAACCAGGCTCCTAGGGACTCCTGGTACGGATGGAGTTTCCCGCTGTCAGGAGCGGTCCTGAATGAGTCAGCAGGATGGAATCCTCCACCGAGATGTGGGCTGGGCACTGGCCCGCTCAGTGTCTAGAGCTAGGGGACAGGAGGGTCTCCGCCTGCGTCTCTGCTCCATCTGTGCCCCCATGGTCTCTCCCTCTGCTAGGGGGACCCCTGCGAGGTGTGCCCCACGCTGCCTGAAGGGTTCCAGAACTTCGTGGGGCTTCCCGGAAAGCCTGGGCCCAAGGGGGAACCAGGCGATCCTGCACCAGCCGGGGTGAGTGCCCAGAGGGGCTCCTGAGGGCACGTGGCCAGGGAGAGTTGCTGGGCAAAAGGACTGGACTTCCTTGTGTGGCCATAGAGAGGGTCTTGGGCTTAGCATGCTGGGTCAGGAGTGAACCATAGAGTTCAGAACTGGCTAGAAGGCCACCCTGTCTCCATGGCAACCTCACAGAGCACTTGAGACTCCAGGATGCCTTTTGGGCAGGTTGGGGTGGAGCCAACTCTTTTAGTGAGTGGCATCCCTACCGCGGGAGTGAGGATGGGAGGATGGGAGTCTGGATGGGGTCTGGGTCCCCGACTCCAGGGCCTCACCCACCCTTTCTTACAGGAGAGCCTTGGAGCTGTTGGTCGAAAGGGAGATCGGGTGCGTGTCAGAGCTGCCTGGTGGGCCGCTTCACCCTCTGTCCATTCTGTGATTGGACCCCAGGATACCCCGGGAGGGGGAGCAAAGGGCATGTGGGGTAAGACACCCTTGTAGGTAGTTGGGGTCGCCTGTGTCTCTTCTCAGCCTGTGAACCTTTTCTTCCTGCAGGGAGACCCCGGCATCCAGGGCCTCAAAGGAGAGAAGGTAAGGGAGGGCCAGTGTCCTGCTGTCCCCCTTCCCCGGGACCCCCTCTCACCCGTTCTCTCTCCCCCCAGGGGGAACCTTGCTTGTCCTGTGTCCCAGCGCTGGAGGCCCATGGGCTGCTCACAGGGCTTAAGGAAGGAGCGGGGTCCCCTGGCCCGGGTCTGCCCGGCCTTCCGGTGAGTGTCTCCTTCCGCCCCAGCTCCTCATCCCTGCGTTCCTCGGGGTCCGGCCTACAGCTGCTCTCTCCTCCATCTCACTCTGCCCCAGCTCACTGGCCCCCGGACCCCCTTCTCCATGCCAGCAGATTCGTGGCGTGTGACACATAACCATGCAGAGGGCAGCAAGGCTGTGGGGTTCAGAGAACTAGCCCCTCTTCCTGGTGGACTCTGGGAGGGGTCTGTGTGGGGAGAGCCTGTGAATATGACTTTATTTTTCAGGGAAAAGTTGGGGCTCCAGGGCCAACGGGGCTGAAAGGAGAGAAGGTGAGACTTGGGACATGAGGGTTTCTGGGCGAAGAGGAGGGGGGTAAGGGCACCTGAGCAGGAACTGGGACCCTAGGGATGAGGGATGGCACTTTAGCAGCACAGCAGAAAGTGAAACGAGTCAGAAAGAGAGGGACAGACATAGAAAGACTGCACTCATCTGGGCAATATAAAGTAACAGAATGGGAGTCGAACACCCAAGAATAGTTGAGATAAGTACCAGGAGGTCTGCTCCACGGCTTGGAAAGCCGGCGGCACATGCTGGGGGAAAAGGCAGCTCAAATAGAGAAGGGAACACCAAGTAAAGGATGTTTGGAGGATTCACTTGGGATGGGAGATGCGTGCTGAAAGTAGACTATGGACGGAAAACGATGGCCACTCAATACCTCTATTGCAAACCACAACACCCTAAAGGAAAGAGAGAGCAAAAGGAATTCCCTGCCACGGAGGTGGGGTGGGATGGGGGGTGGGAGGGCTACTGGGATCATTGGTGGTGGAGAATGGGCACTGGTGGAGGGATGGGTACTCAATCATTGTACAACTGAAACCCAAGCACGAAAGTTTGTGAGTCAACAACTGTACCTCATGGTGTTTCACTAATAATAATTACTAAGTAGGGTCCTCCCGTTGTTCATCGATTTGCTCAAGTGGGCCCAGTAACGTCTCCATCATGAGACTTGTTACTGTATTTGGCATATCAAATACATCACGGGGAGCTTGCCAGGCTCTGCCGTGTGGGCGAGATACTCTCGGTAGCTTGCCGGGCTCTCCGAGAGGGGCGGAGGAATCGAACTCAGGTCGGCCATGTTGGCCGCTTGTAAGGCAGATGTCCTACCGCTGTACTATCGCTCCAGCCCCACTAATAATAATAATAATAATAATAAAAATAAAAAGAAGCACAACAGAACCAGCATTGCTGTGTGACCGCCCGACATCTGGGATGGGTATCGAAGAGCTCGAGGCTCTCCCAGAGGCACCTCCGTGCTGTGTCTTCCTTCCCGACCTGCTAGAACAAGCAAGAGGCCGGCGGCCCGGGTTCCTCCTAGCAGAGTGCATCCTTGCTACTTCCCGTGTGCCAGTGGGATTCCCGGGCTTGCCCTGTCTTAGCCCACATCCTCCTCCTCAACTTTAAGTGGTAGGAGCTCCCTTCTCCCCCATTTCACAGGTGGAAAGTGGAGGCCCAAACAGGCTAAGCACGTGGCCCGAAGCCTGTGGGGAAAAGGGAGAGATTTGACGGGGATCATGTCTGGGTAGCCCCTGGCTTCCTCCCTCCTCAGCCCGCTCACTCTGTCCAACGCCCTGTCCCCCTTTGTACTGAGGATTGCACTGGGGACAGGTGACAGTGGTGAGCTTAGGATGCAGTTTTTTTCCCCTGAGGTCTCTGGGTGTCCCTGAACTCAGGTGTGAGCCCCACCAAGTTCCCTGTCCATTCCCAGCTCTCCTGGGCCAAGTGCACCTGTCCTTTCCCTGCCTGCCGCCTACCCCTGACTTTTCTCCCAGGCTCCTCAACTCAGTGGTTGGCTCACCTCCAGCTCCTGGAGCCCCACACTTCAGGGCACCCTCCCGGTCCCCCTGCTTCTCTCCTTCCTCTCCTCCATCTGCAGCTCCACCTCTCAACTCTGCCGCTTCCCTCAACCTCCCACCAGTCGGAGCCCAAGGTCCCTCCCCTCAGGAGGATGCTGGCGGGCTCCCCATGGCTCCTCAAGAAGCCATTTCTTCCAGCAGCCAAGTGGTCTTCTGACAAAGACCTCAGCGCCCTCATTTCCCTACTTAAAATCCTTGAGACTGACTTTGTACCAGAGGCCTGCTGTGCCCAGCGAGACTCAAAGCCCGGCTGGCCGCCTCCTGTCTTTCCGGCCCGCCTGCTTCTCCCCCAGGCTGCAGGGCTCATCTTCCATTCATCTTCCCCTTCCAGAAAATGCCAACATGGGGCCCACCACCTCTTGGGTTTTGTATTTCTGGCTCTCAGTGTCTCCAGCCTCTTTTCTCTCTCCTCTCACCATTCTTTCATTATTCTCATCTTTGTGATGATAGTCATCGTAATTGATGCGTCTGTGACCACCCTCTCTAAAATGACCTCCCTCACGTGTCTCATCTCCTTATTTCCTTCCTAGCATTCACATATATCTACATACACAAATGTATTATAGATGATAGATAGATAGATAGATAGATAGATAGTATTTCCCCCCTTTGTAGGTACCAGGGATCGATCGAGCCTGGCTACTGTGCACAGCACTGTAATAAACACAGGCATGAGGGTGCCTTCTCTGCAGGGTGTTTCTGGGCTCCTGGGGTATAATCCCAGGAACAGTATTGCTGAGGCGCATTGAAGCTCAATTCCTAGTTTATTTATTTACTTATTTTTGAGGACTGTCCATGTTGTTTAACACAAAGGCTGGACCGGTCCACACTCCCACCAGCAGTGGGAGACCTGTGCTCTACCGCATGAACCACACCCCCCCCCCTTCAAAGCTCATATTGCCCTGCACGAGCCTGTGAGCGCCACACAGCATGTTGGTCTGCGCTGCTCACAGCTGCATCCCAGCACTTGCCCAATGAGCAGTTGGATCAATGAAGACATGAGCACCGAGGGCAGGGTCAGGACTGCGAGTGGGGCTGGAGTCTGTGAGAGAGGTCAACCCCAGGCTTCCCCAGGGACACCCTCTCCCCTGGTCCTCAGTTTCCCTTACCAGGAAGTGTGGGGGGGGGAACCTTGAGGTCTGAAGGGGCTGCTTTGGGGCTGGGTTGATGTAGAGCTCCCTGCTGCCCTCTCTGACCCTACTCTATTTTACTCTCAGGGTAATTTCGGGGTGGCAGGACCCGCAGGCAGTCCGGTAAGTGTGGAGAAAGGCAGCAGCCCTGGGGTCGGAGGCGCTGGGGGTCCCCTTTTGCCTCAAATGTGGCTTTTTAATCATGTAGGGACCACCAGGGCCAGTGGGACCAGCTGGCACCAAAGGAGAGAAGGTGAGTTGGGAGCAGTGTCCACCTGCAGCCGGCATGGGCTTCCTGAACCCCCGTTCATCATGTTCTCCTTCCGGCCTTCCCAGGTGCCTCCCTGCCAGGGAGGAACCATGAACCCCAAGGCATGGAGTTCACGAGCTCCCCTTCATCCCACAGAGGTGCCACATCAGGCCCCAGATTCTGGGTCAGAAGCCCCAACTCTATATTCTTTCGGCAGGGGGAGTCATGCACACCCTGCCAGGGCCTGCCTGGGTCTCTGGCTGAGGACAGACTGGTGGCGGCGACACTGCCTGGCCCTCCTGGGGAGAAGGGGGAGACTGGGCCCCCAGGCTTCGGACTGCCAGGGAAGCAGGTGAGTCCCGAGTCTTTTTAGTGGGGGGGGGGGGTGGGCCAGCGGACTCAAGGAGAAGGGCAGGGACCCTGCCTGAGTCCCAGGACATGGGCGGCCATGTGAGGGGTCAATGCTGTGTCCTGACGCCTGGTCTGCCAAGGGGCGTGGAGATCCCATAAATGCCTGGGATCCCACAGACCTGGGGGTGCACATTCCAAATTGGCCTTTGTGAGCTCTGAGACTGTGCCCAGTTTCCGAAGTGTGGGGGTGGGGGTGGACATACGATGTGCCATTTGAGGTGGGTGCTGCCTCTGGGGGCGGGAGAGGCCCCACTGATTCCCCCACACTGATTCCCCAGTGGGAATGCAGGTGCGGGACCCACCATGCACGCCCGCTGCATAGAGGCAATGCTGCGCGCGCGCGCGCGCGCGCGTGTGTGTGTGTGTGTGTGTATGTGTTGTGTGTGTGTGTGTGTGTCTGGGGATTAAACCCAAGCCCCCTCACACATTTTATATATCACACATGTAATCATCCATTTTTGAGGGGGGTCCACCTCCTGTAGTGCTGGGGTCGGAGGCCTAGCGGTATGGGCCTAACCATTCAGGGCCCAGCAGTGCTCAGGGGTCATGGGGCTGCACCCAGTGATGCTGGGGAGTCCGAGTCATTGCGGGGATGGGACTCAGAAGCTCACACAGACACGCATATGTTCTAACTTGAGCTCTAGCCCCAGCCCCAGCCTCTGCTACTTTTAATCACCCCCATTTGACAGACAAGGAAGAGCAGGGAAGTTAAGAACTCCATCTAGGTCGCCCAGCAGGACTCTGACCCATCGTTCCCCTTCACCTTACAGTACCACATTGCTAGATGGGCAGAGCTTTGGCTGTTGTGTTTTTGCATTTGGTTGTGTTCCTGGGGTACAATAATGTGCTGTGCATTTGGGGGTGTCCAGTGGGCGAACGGGTGTGAGCAATGCTCTCTCCTCAGGGCAAGGCCGGAGAGCCTGGACTGAAGGGGCAGAAGGTGAGAGAACCCCAGTGGGCCAGGGCATGCCCTCACCACCTCCTTTCCCTCAGCCCTGCACCTGCTCCCTGCCTGCCCAGCACCCAGCCCCCAGCCCCAAGCCCTGCAGGATGATTGAGTGCCTGCATGTCCCAGATGCCCGTGCCTTCCCAAACCCTCCTTCCAACAGGGTGACACTGGGAGTCCTGGAGATCCGGGGACACCTGGAACTGCAGGGCAGCCGGGACTGTCGGGAGAGCGAGGGGTGCGCGGCCCCATGGGCCCCAAAGGAGAGAAGGTCAGTCGGGCGTCAGGCAACCTGATGTGAGCAGAAAGAAACCAGGCTGAGTGCTTGCTGTCTGTCAGGCTGGGAGCCCTCACGGATGTCAGCCTCCACCCTGGAGGGTCAGGGGCCTCTTTTGACTCCCCAGACTGGAGTGGCACTAGCGGAGGGGCGGGGTCTCAGAGGGGTCCAGGACCCCCCTTTGTGCTGTCTTGAAGCTTCCTTCAGCCTGGCTGCCTGTCCCGTTCCCAGGCTCTGACCTGCCCCATCTCTCACCAGGGTGAGGGCTGCACCGCCTGCTCCAGCCAGCAGGGGGCAGTGACAGACTTGGCGGGACTTCCTGGGAAACCTGGTCCCAGAGGGGAGCCCGGGCCAGAGGGTGTGGGCAGACCTGGTAAACCGGTAAGTGCCCTCCACTCCTTCCTGGCCAGCGTCCCCCGACTTGGCCCACCTGCCCCTTTGGGACCCACACACCATCTCACATCTTCCAGGGCCAGCCCGGTCTACCAGGCATTCAAGGGCCCCCTGGACTGAAGGGCATGCAGGTAGGTGGGGGTCTGAGGGTGCAGGTATGGGGACCAGGGGCCAGTGGGCCTGGACGGGGAGTGGAGATCAGGGTGGGGTGAGGAGGGATCCCAGCCCTGGGGAGGGGTCCTGGTGAGGAGGAGGGACCCACAGACAAGGATCATGATCATTTCTTTAGGGAGAGCCTGGACCTCCAGGGAGGGGAGTCCAGGGGCCTGAGGTGAGTGTCCAGAGCACCCTTTCCTGCCCATACCCTCAACACGTCCACTCACCAGCATCCCAGTCCTCTCTGCCCCAGATCACAGAGCCCTGCCTCGTGCTCAGGGACCCAAGTCCGGGTGTAGCCCGGAATAGCGCTCCTGCTTTTGCCTTTGAGGCGGCTGAACTTGCTTTGACCTCTGCCCCTGACTCTCACTGTCTCCTGGGAGACCCACCTAGACTGTATCAGGGGGCGATCTGGTGCCTTTTCTAACTTGCAGGGGGAGCCTGGAGCCCAGGGATTGCCTGGCGTGCAGGTAAGTCTGCCCACTGTTTCTAGGGCCCCTGGCCCCAGAGGCTAGTGGGGCAGGGCAACCTTCTCAAAGAGGAAAAACTAAGTCTGCTGTCTCCTGCAGGGATTTCCAGGACCTCGAGGACCCCCCGGCCCCACTGGTGACAAGGGTGCCAAGGTGAGCCCTGCAGTACTTCCGTGCGCCTGGCAGTGGGTGCAGGGCCCATGGCAGCTGCATAATGGCCGTCAGGGCTGCTAAAACCCGCTCTGACATGGTTCCCCCATGCTCTCTCTCCCACAGGGATCTCCCGGAGCAGATGGAGCCCCGGGCCCCGTGGGACCTCCAGGTGCTGGTGTCCGAGGACCCCCAGTAAGACTCCCCCCTCCTGCTCTCTGCTGGGAAGATGGGGGTGGGCCCGCCCTCCCAGTGTTCCAGGGACCCATGTTGGGGGGACCTCAGCCTTGCCTTCGAGAAGTAAAAGCATCCTGTCTAGGGGGACACCGAGCCATGACAGCACCAGCCACCCTCTTTTCTGAGGCCTGTGGTGTGCTCGGAGCAGCAGCTCCTTGAATGGCTATTCCTGATCCCAGGCCACTAATCAGGACACTGCAGGCAGGGCTGTGAGGAGGGGGGCACAGGTCTGTCTGACCAAAGGCCCCTCCAATAACCCCTTCCAAACCCAGGGTCCTCAGGGGTGGTCTGAATCAGGGCTGCCCTGCGGAACCAGCCACAACGAGGGAAATGTCCCCCCTGTGCTGCCCATGTGGCCACAGAAGGCGTTAATCCTTCAGACAGACACTGTGCTCATCTTAATCAGTTTAATTAGCCCCGTGCGGCTTTCGGCTGTCCTATCAGCAGAGCACAGATCTATCCAAACCGGCAGCTCTTCAACTTCCTTTCCCTCAGAGACCTCCCCTGCCCCCCCCTTTATTCCTGTCCCACCACTTGTTGAAAGAATGAGTCTATTGAGCAAATTGTATCAAGTCCTAAGAAATATATTTTCTCATTTTCCTTCATCAAAGAACTGTACCATAGTCAGCTTCCACTCACCTGCGCCTGCTAACACCTTCCACGGTGGTACCAATTGAGCTTAAATCAAAGCAGTGCCACCTTTCAGCCAGTCTGTGGACCCCGCCGCGCTGTGGGCAAGCGTATAATTGGGGGACTGCTTCGGTCACGTTGAAATGAGCCTGGTGAAAGGGCCCTTTTCTCTCCTTGTGGCTTCCTGGGGGAAATTCAGCTGCAGCCTTCAGTCCCCCGTGGGCTCTTTCCAAAGGCAGGTGAAGCCCTGTGGGATCAGGGATGCCCCCCGCCCCCGTTCATACGGCCCATCCTGGGCCCCTCGGAGAGGTAGAGGGCTGAGCTCAGGCGGCCTGGGTCCTGGGCCCTGGAGGTGCCTTATGGGCAGGAGGTGGCCTCACTGCTGCCAGGATGCCCCAGGACCGCTGGGACCCTGCACCTTCCTCCTGGCCTCCCGGTGCCAGTCACACCCCCAAGCCTGAGGCAGGGACCTTCTCCCTCACCATGACTCCTGTTAGGCCACCTGAGGTGGAAACTCCAGTCTCCTGTCTAATCCATCAAGATAACTTGCACCTAGGAGCAGGCACCAGAGGGTGGGGAGCGGGGACTCCGGGTGCACTTGCACTGTTGGGTCAGTCACAGAATCCCTGCAGGCCTCAGTTTCCCCACTGGGAAAACAGTTGAGACTTGCAGGCCTGGGGGCCTCTCTGAAAGGTGCTGGGCCCAGTTCTGATACCAGAAAGATGCTCAGCAAATACATCTCCCTCCTCTTCCTCTCTCCCATCTCGCCTAGGACATGGGTGCTGCAGGGGTGGAGTGGGGGATGGTGGCTAGCTGCTGTCCAGCCCCAACTTCTGACCCGGCCTCTCTCCCTGCAGGGTCCTGCCGGGCCGCAAGGACAGACTGGACTTGCCGGAGCCCGGGGGGTGCCGGTGAGTCCAGGGGAGGGGACACGGCAACTTGGCTGCCTCCTGTGGGTGCCCTGTACACTCGCCCCCCTGTGTCTCTTCCCCACAGGGTGAAAAGGGATCCCGGGGAGAGAAGGTGAGTCCCAGGGCTGTGGCTGAGATGCAGCCCCCATGGCCTAGCACCCCGGGCATCCCGTGTGACTGGGCTGGGGAGGATGGGGTGAGAGGGCAGTGAAGGGGACAGCGGGGCTGTGGCCCGTGGAGGAAGATGAGGAAATGGAAAGCAGTGGTTACAGCTAAGGCCCCTGCTCGCCGCGTGGCAGGACCCATTGGCATGAATCCACTCCTTCTGCTGACCTTCAGTGTGGTCGGCGTTGATCCCACTTTTCAGATGAAGAGACTGAGGTTCAGAGAGGTCTGGTGTGGGGGCAGAGTCAGGGGAAGCCGAGGCCTGGCCATCTCCATGGTTCATGCTGCCTCAGGGTCAGCAGCTTGTGGAAGTTCTTTCCGCCTGCCCCCCTCTGACCAGGGCCCTTGTCCTTCCAGGGTGACCCGGGGGAGTGCTCCTGCCCCTCCCGAGGAGATCACCTCTTCTCGGGCATGCCGGTAAGTGATGCCGAGAGCCTGCCCCCGCCCAGGGGGAGGCCCGGCTTGTGTCTTGTGTCCACCGTGCAGGGCTTTGTGCCCAGGCCAGCTGCTCCCCCACGCAGCCCCGCTTGGTGTGGACATTGCCTATAACCTCTCCCCTTCTTTTGCGGTCCCCACTCCCACCCAGGGTGCTCCGGGACTTTGGACGGGCAGCTCCTGGCAGCCGGGCCCGCAGGTGTGTCGCTTTTCTCCTCTGTCTTGTGTCTGCCAGCACCGAGGCTTGCCCGCCCTGCCCGCGGAGCCTGCTTGCCAATCTCACGCTCTCTTCCTCCCCCAGGGACCCCCGGGGATTCCTGGACCGCCAGGCCCCCCTGGAATGCCTGGGCTGCAGGTAAGGGGGAGCAGACAGGGGTGTCGGGGACGGGGCACTGGGAACCATGGACTCCTCTGCCCAGGACAGTATCTTTCTTCACACGAGGGCTGTCCCTTAGGGCGGGCTATGTGCCCCCCATCCCTTTTAAAGGAATGTTCTGTTGTGTGCTGGTGTACTGTGCTCCGGGCTCAGGCAGCAGTGGGCACCTGCATCGGGCCAGATAAGAACCCTTTACACTGAGCATCCTGCATCAGTTTAAGCAACTAGTATTTTTTGTCAGTGTTTTGGCCACACTCAGAAATGCTCCAGGACCATGAGGTGCAGGGGCTGAAACAAAGGCCTCAGACCTGCAAAGCATGTGCTCCACCCTTTGAAATCTTTCTCTGACCCTGCAAGGAATGTTTTGCACATCTGGTATTTTCTAGGCTCTTTCCTAGATGCTAGAGGATTCAGCAGTGAGCAAGAATGAGAAATCTCTACCCTCTTGAAGGGGCATTTCAGTAGGAGAAGCAGACGATAAGCAAGACGAATAAATAAAATATAGAATGTGGGTCAGGGAGACGGCTCAAAGGGCTCAGCTCAGACTGTGTGGGGGAGGCCTGGGTTCAATCCCCGGCACTATCCCAGGAGTGATCCTCAAGCACTGCTGGATGTGGCCAAAAATAAAAATGAAAGAAGAAAAATAGGAGAGCTGGGGAGATGCCTCAAAGGGCTGCCTTGCATACAGAAGGCTCAGGTTTGACCCCAAGGCCGCAGGAGCCCTCAGCACCACCAAGAAAGACCCTCCCCCAGCACCTGGAGCAACCCCTGAGCACCATCAGCTGTGACCAAAATAAATAAAGACAAGGGGCCAGAAAGATAGTGCAGTGGGTAGGGAGCTTGCCTTTCAGGCCACCAAATTAGATTTGATCCCAGCATGGTCCCAAGTCCTGCCAGAAGTGATGCCTAACCACAGAGCCAGGGCTAAGCCCCAGCCAACACCTTGACCCATCCCAAATAAATAAAAAAAAGGAAAATGGAGAAGGGGGCAAGGCAGATAATTGAGAAATATTGGAAAGAAGGTGACATTTGAATCCAAAATGAGAGGGAGAGAGCAGTGAGGGCTAAGGTCCCACCCAGTGGGGAGAAGGCAGCCCGCTACCTCTTGTGTTTCAAGTCTACTCTCCCATTCATACGAGCTTATGTCAGCGCCAGGGGAAGGGTGGTAGCACCGTTGCACCACAAGCTAAGAGGTGAAGGGGCTTATCTGAAGCTATCGAGTAGCAACTGGTAGTACTGGGCAGGACTTCCCCAGAGACCCTCTGCCTTCTGCCCTCCACTGCATTTGTGACAGTTCCTCAGGGATGCATTTCCCAGAGGGTCTTGAAAGTCCAGGCAGCAGTTTTGGGGTTCTAGCTCCCATCTCCTCAAAGAGCAAATCTCACCCCAAAATATCAGAGTGTGGTCTCACAAAAACTCCCACCGAGTTGAAAATCAACTCTGATGGAACCCCATTTCAGATGGGGGTCTCCACGGCACCCCAACACTCTGCATCTCCTCAGGAGCTCGGGGCTAGGTGTATCTCTCCATCCACCATGGCCAGTCTCCCATTTCCCAGGGCTGAGCTCCCGCTGCATTGCTGGGAAAGGAGGGTCTCACTCCTGGGGGCCCATAGCCGGGGACACGGGTGGGATGCGTCACTCAGAGTGACCCATCAACAAGCACAGGCAGATGTCCTGGGAGCCCTGCCAGGACCTGCTGACAGAGGAACGTGACAGCCAAGTCTGGCTCCGGTGCCGAGACCGACACAAGGCTGCCGTGACGACCCCTTCTGGGAAGGGAGAGCCCAGAGGCTCCTCTTTCACCTCACAGAGACAGGAGAAGCACCATTCATTCACCTCCCCAACAAGGTCTCCTGCCGCCAGCCCCCATTTTGCAAGAGAGAAAACTAAGACACAGAGTTTAAGAAATGTGTCAGACATACTTAGCCGAGTACAAAGCGAGTAGGTAATCCGTTGCTTCTATAGTCCAACATCGGGGACTTAGTTCCGGGGATGGGACAGGAAAAGAAAATGGCTCAGAGAACAAAGCACATGCCTGGCCTGTGTGCAGTCCTGGGTTCAGCTCCTGTGACCCATGAAGTGTGGCCCCCACAAAAGGAGAAGAGAAATATATATTTTTAAAAATTTTATTGAATCACCTGGGCTGGAGCGATAGCACAGCGGGTAGGCGTTTGCCTTGCACGTGGCTGACCCCGGTTCAATTCCTCTGCCCCTCTCAGAGAGCCCGGCAAGCTACTGAGAATGTTTTGCCCACACGGCAAAGACTGGCAAGCTCCCGTGAAGTATTCGATATGCCAAAAACAGTAACAACAGGTCTCACAATTTTTTGTGAGATGTTTCTGGTGCCTGCTTGAGCAAATCGATGAACAATGGGAGGACAGTGCTACAGTGCACTGAATCACCGTGAGACAGTTACAAGCTTTCATGTTTGGGTTGCAATCACATAATGTCAAACACCCATCCCTCCACCAGCACACATTCCCCACCACCAATATCCCTTGTATACCCTCCTTTCCCACCCTCCCCCTGCCTCCATGGCAGACAATATTCACCATTGGGCATTATGGTTTGCAATACAGATACTGAGAAGTTATCATGTTTGGTCCATTATCTACTTTCAGCACACAGCTCCCATCCCGACCGATTCCTCCAGCCATCATTTTCTTATTGATCCCTTCCCTATTCCAGCTGCCTTCTCCCCTCCACTCATGAGGCAGGCTTCCAGCTATGGAGCAGTCTTCCTCGCCTGCGTCCTTAGGTGTCAGCCTCAGGTTATGTTGTTTTATACTCCACAAATGAGTGCAGTCCTTCTATGTCTGTCCCCCTCTTTCTGACTCATTTCACTTAGCGTGACACTCTCCATGTCTAACTATTTACAAGCAAATTTCATGACTTCATTTCAAGGGGAAGAGAATTGTCTAGTTCATATGGACTAGAAAGAACACATGAGTTACGAGAGTGGAGCGGGGTCGCCTGTGTCCGGGCCCTGTTCCCTTAGTTCGTGCAAGGGAAGAGCTGTGCTCCGTGGTGGTCTCAGTGCAGGAGCGGCTTGGGGGGGTGAGGGGGCTCACTCTGAGCCTGTCTCCGGAGCGTTAAGCGGGAGGGAATCCAAAGCACAGAGCCAGGGAGCAGCCGTGCGTTCACTTAACATGCCTTTAATCCTGCCTCCTCCATGTCGGGGATTTGAAATGCAACATCCCCCTGGCCTCCATGGAATATGCAAATCGCACTTAGGTCAGCCAGGGACAGGCTCTGGAAGCGAGGTTTGATACGGGGAGTCTCCAAGGTCTGATCTGAGTTCCGTAGGGCTAGAGATCCTCTCTGGCCTCACCATGTGCCACCCCACTTTACAGAATAGGAGATGGAGGCAGAGAGGATTTTGTTTGGTTCCTTTCCCCCTGTAGTAACCTGCCTCGGATTATGCACACAGCGGAATTTTGCATCAAGATAGGTCTGTGCGCCCCCAGCCTCCACCTCTGAGCATCCATGTTCTGGGGAGTGGTGCCCGGGAAAGCATCCAGGTCTCATGTCTGCAACACATGCGCTTTACCTCTGAGTCACACCCCTGGCCCTTGGGGAGCGTCTGGGAGGGCGAGGTCCTGAGTGGTGCAGAGAGGGAAGGGGCTGGAGGCGGTGGTCTTCTCCCTGACTCCTCCCCCGAGAGCTTCTTCTTGCCTTGGGCGAGTTGCTAACCCTCTTTGAACTCTTCATGCTGTTTATTTATTTATATTTTTGCTTTTGGGTCACACCAGGGCTGATTCCCGGCTCTGAACTCAGGGACCACTCCTGGTGCGCACAGGGGACCATACCGGGGGCCTGGGGATCACACCAGGGCTGGGGCCACAGGCAAGGCAAATGCCCTGAATAAGGACCTGCGGTACTTTTCTCCCCTGTCCCTCTTCATTCTTTTCTAAAGGACTGAGATTCGGTGAAGAAATTCTTAGGAAAGTACTTAGCATGGGAAGAACCAATTAGTACTAGAATAAAGAGAGGCCCCTGCCCAATTTCCAGCCCTCCCTTAGTGGAGTGGGGGTAGGGAAGGCGCTCCCTGTTGGACTGGTCTGGGGGTCATCCCTCCATGTGTCTCCTACCAATGACCTGGAGGTTTGTACTGCGAAGCTCACTCAGCTGGGATGAGAGAAAGAGGAAAGAATGAAGGACTAGAGCCAGAATCCCCCCCAACTCAGCTTGCAGGGTGGGGAGACGGTGAGAATGAAGCTAGGACGCCTGCAGTCCACCAGACAGAGAGGGGCTACTCACGTGTTTTTCGGTCACTGCAGGGCATGCCTGGGCACAATGGTCTGCCGGGACAGCCAGGGATGGCGGCGGAAGTGGTAGGTACCAGCTGGGACGCACTTCCACCCCCTCATGCCCTTCCCAGAGCCCAGCCTGCCGTGGCTCCTGTGGCTGCCATGGGGGTCCCTCTGGGTGGCACGAGGCTCCTCAGGGCTCGGCCTGGCACTCAGCCCCGTCTGTCTCTTGCAGGAATCCTTACCCACTGAGTGGAGGCTCCTCAAGGTAAGGGAGGAGGGGACGCGGGGCAGGGGGTGTGCAGGGGCTCTGTGGGGAAGCAGCATCAGAGCTAAGAGGCTGAGGGAGGACTCTCCTGAGACGCCGCCCACCCTCATCAGGCCTCAGTAGCCTCCAGGAGGCTGCACAGCCCCAGCCTGGCCCAGCCCCAGCAGCTCCGAGCAGGGTAGGAAGGGTGAAAGGGTGAGAGTAGACGAGGGGACTGGGCAGTGGTGGTCAGCAGTGTGAGGAGGGGCTGGGAGCCTAGAAACTCCCAGCCATCATCCGGGCAGTCTGGAAAGCCCCAGGGAAAAGAGAACATTGGAGAAGTAAATCTAGCAGGCATTATGGGGACTTGGGGCCCTGGGGTGGGGTGGGGAGGGCGGACTGGGCTCTCCCCTCAGCCAGGACCCTGGGGCCTCCAGAATCCCTCTGGCACCACTTCTAACATAGTTGTTCGGTCCTGGGACCTCCCACCATCCAAACAGTTCCTACCCCAACCCCCACCCCACCCCACTCTGGGCTGAACACCCCTCCTGAGCATCCTGTGGCAGAATTAGCACCTCTGTGCTCTCAGCAATTACTAAAAGGATCACTCTGTGTGTGTGTGTGTGTGTGTGTGTGTGTGTGTGTGTGTGTGTTTGTGGCCAGGTTGTTGTGTGACCCCAAATGCAGAATTCAACTCTCTTCTGGGTCATTTTGTCTAATGGCTTCTTCACCAAGTGTTTGAGGAGCGTCCCCAAATAAGAACAGAATGGTCTGAGCAGTGGTCAGATGGTGCCCCTGGAATGCAGGCCAGCCCAGCCCCCAGAGACCAGAGGAAGCCTAGTGTGCAGACAGAGCAGGGTCTAGTCCAGGCTCTCTCCAGCTCTCTCCTCCAACAATGCTCCTGAAATCCCTCCAGCCCCACCAACACTTCGGTGCATCAGGACCCAGAGACTGGGCGAAGGTGGGCTCTGAGCGAGAGGCGGCAGTGGTCATGGGGCTCTGCAGTGAACAGGAAGGGAAGGAGCAGGGACTCCTGCCCAGGCACCCAGCGACACCCCACTGAGCCCTGAATAGTCTCCAAGCTCCCCAAATCCTCTGGAATTGTTCCCCTTTTAAAGTGGGTCACTCATCAGGGCCCATCAGGCTCTGAGGGGCCCGTGACCCCAAGAGATTAAAAACCACAACAAGGGGCTAGAGTGATATAGCACAACAGATAGGGCACTTGCCTTGCATTCAGTCGAACTGGTGTCAATCCCTGGCATCCCAGCTGGTCCTCTGAGCACCACCAGGAATAATTCCTGAGCACAGAGCGAGGAGTAAGCCTGAGTATCACTGGGTTTGGCCACAAAACAAAACAAAACACAAAACCAAAAATGAGGCTTTCTCATTGCGACGACGCTGGGGCCTGGGCCCATGGAGCCTGTGGGGCGGGAAGGGCAGGCCCTGCCCAGGTGGCTGCCCTCTCGCCCCCTTGCTCCTCGGCCGGTCCATCAGGAAGCAGCATTTGGAGCCCGCTCAGCCCCGTCCCGGCGGCATGTCCTCACAGTGGGTGCAGATGCAGACACAGCCGGGACAGATGGTCCCCCCACGGCCCTCCGCCTCCTCCCACACGCCTGTCTGCACAGTGGCTTTGGCTGGGCCCCACCGAGCTGCTTCTTGGAGGAAACTCAAAGCCAGTTGTGGGATCGGGTCTCCTGAGGATGGAGCAAAGCGGCCGCCGTGGTTCCCCACGTGGCTGGGCCCCAGAGCGCGTGGGTGGAGACCTGCCAGGCCCTTCCAGGCCTTCTCTGACCCAGGCCCCTCGCGGCTCCCCCTCTCCCCTCAGACCATCTGCGGGGACTGTGCCCAGGGCCAGACAGCTCACCCGGCGGCCCTCCTGGAGAAAGGCGAGAAGGGAGACCAGGGCATCCCCGGCGTGCCAGGCTTTGACAACTGCGCACGGGTAGGAAGCTGAGTGGGGTGGCGGTCGTGCAGGGTCAGCCCCGGGGCCTCACCTAACAGAGCCTGTCACTCCCACAGTGCTTCGCCGAGCGGGAGCGTCCAAGGGCTGAAGAGGCCCGGGTGAGTGGACTGCGCGCGCTCTGCCGGCTGCCCTCAGCCCACAGGGATCGGCCTGAGACTCAGTGTCCCCCTCTCCACCTCTCCATCCCACTTCAGGGAGACAACAGTGAGGGCGATCCGGGCTGTGCTGGGAGCCCAGGCCTGCCGGGTCCCCCGGGCCTGCCGGGACTTCGGGGACAAGAGGTAAGACCAGGGCAGTGCCCTAGGGGCTGGGGCCTCCAGGTGAGCGACCCTCAGTTCCCCGGCTGCCGTTTCATCCCTGCAAGTGGCCTCTCAGGCCTTCTCCAGGGGTGCTGTCTCTTAGGAGACCTCCAGCTGCCGCTGGGGTCACCCAGTGCCCCTCCTGCTCTGACCACATCTGCCCGCCTGCCCCCCCACCCTGTCCCAAGCCTCCTTTCTGCTCCGGAACCCCAAGATGTTCTTCCTCCTCAGGTCCATGGAGTCCTCTGCCTGCAACCCTTCTCCGGGGTAACTCCAGCTCTTGTCTGCATCAGTTAGCTCAGGCCCTGCCTCAGGCAGACGGCCGAGCGCTCTCTACACGGATCCTGTCCCCTCCACCCCCCACACACACCTGGCACCCCACCCGTCACTCTTAACTATTGTGCATGTCCTTCATTCGAGGATATTCTGAAGCCCCGCCGTTTGCCAGCACGAGCCTCTGTCCCTCCCGCCCCCTGAGACGTGAGCGCCACCAGGCTGGGCCTCAGCCAGGGCCTGGGACGTGGGCGCTGCTGCTTCTCGTGACTGTGGGCGAGGGGCTGAGCCCCGGGACAGGCTCACCCCCGGCTCTGGCATCAGCGGCCTCTGCAGACCTGGCTGTGTGGGCAGCAGGGAAGGCCCAAGCCCCTCACCCACTCCCCTTTGACTTCCTTTGCAGGGTCCACCTGGCGTGAGGGGCTCCCCTGGTCCTCCAGGCCCGATTGTAAGTACCCGGCTGCCCACACGCTCACTTGTGCTCCGCGGCCTCCCATTGCAGGAAGTGGAGCGGGACAGGCCAAGGAGCCTCCCTCCGCTTCCCTTCGCTCTCGTCTGGACGTCTGTGGAGACTGTGGACTCCCCTGACGTGACTCCCTGGGACTGACCTGCTATACCCCATGGCCTGTGGGCCTCCTCCCTTCCTAGCTCCCCTCCCCAGATCTCTTGCACTTTGCACCAGGGATCTAGGCTGAGGCAGCTTCTGGTTCGTGATCTCGAACTGCATGTGGCTACCTGGCCAGCTGCTCCCCACCCCCGGCACTCCAGGGGCTAAGGTGGAGCCGCCCTCGTGGCCTTGAAGCGCCACTGTGGCCAGGTCAAGTGTCAACCTCTGTGGCATCTCTGTGGTAGGAGAACAGGATGACTAGAAAAGTCTGGGAGTATGGATCTTCCTTTTTTCTTTTTTTGAGAGAGAGCAAGAGAGAGAAGGAGAGCGAGAGCGAGAGCAAGAGAGAGAGAGAGAGAGCAATAAGGGCTGTTGGGCATCATCTTAGAACCCAGGGGCATGTGGGGCACACAGAGGCCAGGACATGGGGCTGAGGGCCCAGCCCAAAGCCCAGCTTCCCTTCCCACAGGACAGTGGTCCCCTTAGGCTCCGCAGACTTTGGAAGGGCGTTGGACTGGGGGGCCTTTGCGGGGGCGTTGGCGCTGTTTCCCCGTCTCTGCTGCTGGACGAGTGAGTCTTCCGGGCCTGAGGCCGGGAGCAGACAGTGTTCCTGGGCAGGACTATCCCCGGGTCTCTTTCCTCGCTGCCTCTCCTGCCCAGGATCCGCAGCCCCCCCACCCCGCGCCCCGGCACCACCGTGCTTGTGAGATGTGACCTGCCTGTTTCTCCCCCCAGGGCCCCCCAGGGTTTCCTGGTGCCGTTGGCTCCCCCGGACTGCCTGTAAGAACCCAGTGCCGCTCCAGCCCTCCCCGCCAGCAGCTCTCCGCAGCTGCTTCCGCTGTCTTCTCCTTCATGTTTGTCCTTGTCCCCTGCAGGCAGGGTAGCTAACGACACACGGGTTCCCTGAGCCCCCAGCAGCGTGGACATCCCCCCAGGCCGCCTTCTTCCCCACTCTCGCTCCTCCCGCTGGCTCCCTCTCCTCCCCGCTCGCCCCTCGTTCCCTTCCTCTCCCACAATCCCACGTCACTCCCCCTGGATCCTCCCCAGCTATTTTACCTTCTTATTTTAAGCCGGTGCCTCCAGGGGCCTCTTTATTCCTCCCTTCTCACTTCTGCCTCCTGCTTCTCCCACCTTTGGTGTTGACTGAAGATTTGCTGAAAGTAGTTCTTGGGGCCCTGCCAGGCACCTGGCACCACGCCCGGCAGAGATGCCAAGGCTTCGGGGCTGCACAGCGCAGGCTGGCACAGGTTCGCTGCCCCGCTGCTCGGCAGAGCTGCCAGTGGCACCCCAGGATGGCGAGGCGGCCACGTGCCCCTTCCTGGATGAGCCCCTGGGCCGCCTCTTCCCCTCCTCCTCCTCGGCTCCAGTCCCAAGGCGGAGCGCGGGGTGCCGACCAGCTCGGCTTCGGGGCTCGGGGCCCCTGTGTCCAGTTCCCGGCCTGCTACCGCCAGGTGTCGTTCATTGCCCTGCCCGTCCTCGTCATCCTCGTCACCCTCGTCCTCGTCACAGTGTGTTCAGTGCTCCTTGCCCTCACTGTTGCTCTCCCCGGGTCACGGAAACTAACCTCCTGTGTGTCAGGCTTCCATGGCCGGCCCGGGCTCTGCTCCTCCCAGGCTGGGGACAGTGGCGCGGGGAGCAGGGCCCCTCCTTGTCACAGCTCCATCTGTCCCCATGCCCTCATCCTGGCCGGACCTTGTCTGTTTCTGCTTGCTTGGGTGAGGGGCCATCTGTCCGTCTGGCCATCTGTCCCGTGTGGTGGAAGGTCTGAGCGCCGGCTCGAGGGCACGAGGGGGAGAGGGACAGTGGCCCCTGCGCTGCGGCAACCAGCCAGGGCGTGGGGCGAGGGAGGGGGATGGGGAGGACAGGCCTGGTTTTGACTCCAGTGCGTGCCTCTTTCCACCACTTTCCACAAGTGGCGGGGCCCATGCGGGGGGCCTCACAGTCTCCCCCTCCGGCCCTCGGAGAAGGTGGTTGGGGCCGGTGGGCTTGAGCAGGTGAGTGCTGGGGATCGTGATGCTGTGACGGGGACTATCGCACCAGGGACACAGGGCCTGACAGTCCCCCCCTTGAGGGGACCACTCGGTGTGATCTCACCAGGCCTCCTAGCCACCTGCCTGAGAGACCCCCTGGGTGACCTGACTCAGGCAGGAAGGTGCTCCCCAGTGGCCCCACGCAGGGACTCGCCCTTCTGCGGTCACTGTGCTGGAGATGGCCAGCAGCAGCCGCCTCCTTCGCCTGGAAGGGCACCGAGGGCCGGGCGGGACCTGTCCCCGGCAGCTCTCATGAGTTTTCTCTCCCAGGGTCTTCAAGGAGAGCGAGGCCTCAGGGGGCTGACGGGAGAGAAGGGCGAGCTGGTAAGAGGAGGAGGGCTGGGGAGGGAAAGGGGATGCTGGGGCGATGGGCGGGGTCCAGGGAGGGCTGCTGAGTGGAAGAGCCGGGAGGGTGGTTTCCATTTGAACCCGGTGTCCCTCCGCCCCATTTCTTCTCTCCCTGCACCACCTCTGGGTTAGTGCTGAGGCTGACCCTCCCCAGTGGCCCTCCAGGGCCCCACTGCTCCCTGGCCCAGGCTGTTCTTCCTCGCCCAGCAGCTCTGAGCTTCCCCCACTGCATCCTCCCCCCACCCCCCTAGGTTCTGGCAGTCTCTGCTCAGTCACCCCCAACTTTCCCAGCTGTGCTGGTGTTTAGGCTGAGCCTGGTGGTGACTGTCCCACCCCCTGGGTGGGCCCGGCTGAAGGACAGCTGTCTGGGTTCTGGCTCTGATTGGCCTTTGGCCCAGGAAGGAGATGAGGAATGTTGGCGGGGGGGGGGGGGGGGGGGACTACCGGTTCACCTTTCTTTGCAGGGTCCTCCTGGACAGCCCGGCTATCCAGGTGCCATGGGCCCCCCAGGACTGCCTGTGAGTGGGGGCTATTGACTGGGGTGGGGCTGGGGCGGGGTCCAGAACCTGGGGTGGCAAGGGTAGGACCAGGCTCAGGCTCTGTCTGTCTCAACACTCCCACCCATGCCCAGGCAAGTCCAGGGCAGAAGCCCCCAGTAGGGTGGCTGGGCTGACCCCTCTGCTTTGGCGTGCCCCTTAGTCACTGCTGCACATTGTGAGCTGGCTTTTGGGGTACCCCAAGAAGCTCAGACACGATGGTTGAGCTCCACCTCCTGGGGGATGTTGGAAAGTTGGGGGGGTCTGTGCAATGGTACCACCCTGCTTAGGAGCCTCAGTATACACTGAGGGCCACAGTGGTGGGTGGGAGACAGCGGCAGCTCCCTCTGTGCTCCCCCATGGGGTCCAGGGCACCAGCATTCCAGCGGCAGTTTCTGCCATTAGCAAGGGGGCCCGCGTGCCTCTGAGTCCCCTCTCCTCTTCCTCGCCAGGGCAGCAAGGGAGAGCGCGGCTACGTTGGACCCTCAGGGGAGAAGGGGGAACAGGTGAGTCTTGGCAGCACCCTCAGCCGTGAGGGGGCTGCTCCAGCTGCTTCCTCATCCCAGGGGCCTGCTCCAGCTGTGTCTCGATTTCTCCCCGGGGCACTGGGGATGTGGAGGCGGCAGCTGCATCCCAGGTCCCCTGAGACATGCTGTCTGACTGCAGGCAGGTGGCGGGGGTCTGACGGGACAGCCTGTGTCCTTGCGAAGGCCCCGTGGGTGGGATGGGATGAAACCCAGCTCTCCTCTGGTCTGTGCTGAGCTCAGAGGGAGCCGTGAGCAGATGGGGACACCGAGGCTCACCCAAGGTCCCCAAGCGGGTCAGGAGAGAGCTGGTGGGGGAGTCTGGGCTGGAGGCCGAGACCTCAGTGACAACCTGCTCCATCTTAGCCTGGCTGTCCCCTGCCTCTGGCGGGGGCCTCTGGCAGGAGGAAGTCACCCCACTTCTGCACAGACCCCATCGTAAATCTCTCACGGGGCTGCCGGGTGCCAGGCAGACTCTGCTCCCGGCTGCTGGGAGAATAGCACAGGCATCTCCCCCCCCCCTTCCCTCGCAGGGGAAGAAAGGGGTAGAAGAGGGCAGCATTTGGGACTGGAGGGGACACAGGCCCTAGGGAAGTCAGGGGAGATGGAGGGTCTGTACTGGGGACTTCTGGAGAGAGGCCACGGTGGCAGGGGTGGGTGAGCCCCGTTACTGGGTGAGCTTCAGGCCCCATGATGATTCAGAAGGTTTTAAGAAGCCCAGAAGGGTGTTATGTCCCTGGAAGGGAGTTTCGCTCACACACTGACCAGACCAGACGCGAGGATGCAAAGGCAAGGCCCCTTTATTGCTAGCTCGAGCTAGGGTCTGAGTCTCATCCACGCAGTGGAGTCTTGACAAGGACCCCAACTCCTACAAATTCTGAGCAGCTTATTTAGGGTTTGATTACATAACAGCATTTATTTTCCCCTAGGAACTGGAAATATGTTTCCAATTCTGGTCCCAGTCCTGTCCCGTGACTCCAGGGACCAACACTGTGTTTCCAATTCTTGGTGCCAGTCTTGTCCCATTACTCCACTCCCTTGGCCCTCTCTGCTTGTCTGGACGCCACTGCCCATGCCCCCTATTCTGATAGGCTGTCCCCACGGGTTGGTTTATCTGCCCAGGATGATATTGTTTTCTGAGAAGTCGGGACTTTCTGGCGGGGGAAATCAAGACTAGGCCTGCCGGGGCTAGAGCAATAGCACAGCGGGTAGGCTGTTTGCCTTGCACGCGGCCGACCCAGGTTAAATTCCCAGCATCCCATATGGTCCCCCAAGCACTGCCAGGAGTGATTCCTGAGTGCAGAGCTAGGAATAACCCCTGAGCATCGGCTAGGTGTGACCCAAAAAGAAAAAAAAAAAAAAAGACTAGGTCTGCTGAGTTTTGGTCTTAAAGTGGAGGCCTGTCAGGGTTGGCATTGGGGGATCAGGGGGTGGAGAGGTACTCTATAGGGGACATCAGGTCAGCCCTGGATGGCAGGATGGATTGTGTCCTTGTGATCAGGACGTGCGAGCTGGGGTCTCAGAAAGAGGGAGAGAGGGAGGAAGCGAGGTGGGCAGGCTGGTCCCTGTCACCTCGAGGGAGGCTCACCCACCCTGCTCCTTCTACGGCAGAGGGGCGCCATGAGCAGGCGGTGTGAGCCAGGAGCTCTGCTGGGGGACGGTGATTCAGCTGGAGAGGAGTCCGGGGCCTTAGAGGAGCACCCCCTGCCCGCCACTGCCCCTGCCCAGTGAGTGGCTCCAGGGTGGTGGCCGCAGCTGCTCCCGCTTCTCTGTGTTTCTAGGGCTCTCCCGGATCCGAAGGTGTCCCGGGACCCCCAGGCCCAGCGGTGAGTGGCGGTGGGGCCAGGAGGGGTGGGCAGAGGGACTCTATGTCCTGCTCCCACCTGGAGAGAGGACAAGGAAATTGAGCTCCGGTGACACTGTTCTCTGTGGCGACAGGGTCCCCGAGGAGAGCGAGGACCACAAGGGAACTCTGGTGAAAAGGGTGATCAGGTGAGCTTGGCAGGGGTCGAGGGGCGGGGCCGCAGCTCTGACTCACCAGCGCCCATACTCTGAAGCCGAACCCCCACTCCCCATGCCTGAAGTCTCACCCACTGCACAGAGTGACTGTCCCCTTGCTTCTTCCCCCAGGGATTCCAAGGGCAGCCCGGATTCCCAGGCCCACCAGTAAGTGAGGGCCCAGAGCAGCTCTGTGTGTGTTCGGGATGGGGCTGGTGGCCAGGGCAGCAGGAGCAGCAGCCTAGGGGAGGGCCCTGCCAGGGGCCGCCAGCTCCTGGGTGTTTTGTGGGGCTCACAGGGAGGTTGACCTGGCAGAGCCCCCCTCAGCCCCGTTCCCACTCCCGTTTGCTCCTTTGTTGATATAGGGTCCTCCTGGATTCCCAGGCAAAGTTGGAGCACCGGGCCCACCCGGCCCCCAAGCAGAGAAGGTGAGCAGGACCCCCAAATTGGGCGCCTCCCCAAGATCTGAACCCCACAGTTCCCAAGCCCCTGTCTCAGTCCATCATCAGACCTTCAGGAAATTCAGATAAACTCTGGGAAGGGCCCTGGCTGGGCAGACCTGTGGGCGCCTAGGGAAGGTGGTGGGGAGGGGCCGGGGGGTGTCGTGAGGGGTGGGACCAGCCCCGCTCCTCAAGGGGGAAGTCAGGGAATGGAAGCAAGGAGGGAGACAGAGCAATGACCACGGGACCCCCCCTTCTGGGCCCGACAGCTGCAGGGAACCCTCTGACTTGGGCCCCAGTTGTGCTGCTCGGGTCATTCCCAGGGGCCAGAGAGGACAGGGGTGATCTGTGCCTGCAGATTGGTGGGGGCAGCAGGAGACCCCGGGGAGCCCTATGCTCTCTGTCCACAGGTTTGACGATACTGTGGACCAGCTTCGGAGACCAGTTTTGTGGGGGTGGAGATCCCTGACTCATTTCAACTTCTGGGCCCCCTTAATATGATGGGGGGCTGGTGTACAGGGGCCCCAAGATTAACTTCTCAGAGTTTGGGATTGGGTGGGGGGAATCATGGTTTGGAGGCAGAGATAAGAGGCCTGGAGCTCTTGGGGCTCCTCTGTCCTCTGCTGGCCGTAGCCTAAGGGCCAGAAGGCTCCTCCCAAAGGGTTTTGTCTGACTGCCCAGCTTCAGGCCCAGAGAGGCCTGGACACCCCAGGAGTGCCCAGAGGGAGCAGCGTCTTAGGGCAGCAGAGAAACCCCTCCCAGAAGGTCCGGCAGGTGGTGTGCCTCCTCCGCAGTCCCTGGGACCCTCTGCTGCTGCTCTCCTCAGGCCTCATTGCCGGGTACCCCAACCTCTGGCCCAGGGTGTCCCGCCCAGCTCCCTCTGGGACTGACATTTCCCAGGGCCGTGCTGGCCCCTCCTGGCAGCTGGCAGCATTGCAGTGCCACCCAGCTTCCCCTCCCCCCTTGCTGGGTCTCTAACTGGGTCCCTCCTGCTCTCCAGGCAGCCCCTCTCCCCAGGGGAATCGGGGCTGCTGCCTACACCCCCTCATTCTCTGAGTCCACATGCCTGTTGCCACGCCCCGCTGTGAGCCTTCTGCAGGGCCGCAGCTCTCAGACTTTGTGTTGTAGATGGAGAACTCTCGCCTCGCCTCGGAGACAGGAGTGAATCTGGCTCAGGCCGGGGTCCTGGGCTGCTCATCCCCCTCCCCAACTCTGGGGCTCCTCCAGGAACCCCCAGAGCTCTGAGAAGAGCCTTTTGGAAACTGCCGGTCTCGGACGAGGTTCAGGGCCCTTCCGCAGGGGTTCTCGGCCTGCCCCTCCTCCTGCCCACTCTGCCCTGGTTGTCCACATTCTCAGCTCATGCCTCCATGCTCAGTCAGGACTCAGCCCAGCAAACCTTTAGCCCTGCCCGGACCCCGCTGGAGTTTCCCTCAGAGCCACTCTCGGTGACTGTGACAGTTCCCTGGCCTGGCCAGAGCGAGCTTTGGAGCTCCCAGAGCCTCAGCCAGGCCGGGGACCCTTTCTGGATGTACCATTAGAGCCCCAAAGTGCTCGTGTGTGTGTGTGCGTGCGGTCTGGCCCCTTCTGTCTCTGAGCACCACCCTGGCTGAGCTGCTGCACTGAAGAGGCTCTGTCCCCCGCCCCTCCTGGGGGCCCCTCCCTCTCTTGAGGCTCTGCTGACCTTGTGGGGGGGATCGTTTCCAGGGCAGCGAAGGGATCCGAGGCCCCTCGGGCATGCCTGGCTCCCCGGGGCCCCCGGGCCCTCCTGGGATTCAGGTGAGTGTGTGCCCTGCCTGGCGTGGGGGTGGGGAGCACTGAGCGCTGGTGCAGCCGTGGGAAATGCTTTCTCCTCTCCCCAGGGCCCTGCTGGCCTGGATGGTCTGGACGGCAAGGACGGCAAGCCTGGCCTGAGGGTGAGCTGCTGGGCCCAGCCCTCCCCCCCCACCCCCCATTTCTTCTCCAGGAGTCCAAGTCAAGAAGCTGGTGGGGGGGGGGGCTGGAGCGATAGTACAGCGGGTAGGGTGTTTGCCTTGCACACGGTCGACCCGGGTTCAATTCCCAACATCCCATAGGATCCCTGAGCACTGCTAGGAGTAATTCCTGAGTGTAGAGCCAGGAGTAATCCCTGTGCATTGCTGGGTGTTACCTCCTTGCCCTCCTCCCCAAAAAAGAAAGCTGGTAAGCTGGTGGGGTGAGACCTGTCAGAGGAGCTGCACCTTCCTGGGCCTGCCTCACCGCACATACCCTTCAGGTGCCAAGGGTCCCAGCTTCTCAGCTGCCCCAGGGACCTTATCATCTGGGAAGGGCCCAGCCTGCCCAAAGGCGGGACAGTGAAGGGGGGGGGGGGGTGCAGCTTTCTCAAGTAGCTGAAGGAAGTCACTGGGGTGTCAGGGAGCACAGGCCATGGCGGGTGCCAGGGTGGGCGCCAGGGTGGCTGGGCCTGACCACGCCGGGAAGCCTCGGCCCAGTGAATCACTGCTCAGCCTCCGCAGTTCGTGGCCCCCCACTCAACCCTTGGGTCGGGTGTTGCTGGACAATCTGGGGCACGTGGCAAGTGACAGAGCATCACGGTCAACCCACTTCAGTTCCCCAAAGGAAAGCAGAGGCCCCACGAGGACCCAGCTGGAGTCCACCCTGCCTCCTTCCCTCCTCCCTGGTCCTCCCTGGGTCCTGGGCTAGAGAGGGCCAGGGCGCGGGGACAGCAGAGAGCTGGGTACTAGCTAATAAGGCTGGTGCCTCATGCTTCTTTCTCTAGGGGGACCCCGGTCCTGCTGGCCCGCCTGGACTCATGGGACCCCCGGTAAGCTGAGCGGCAGGAAGGAGCGGGGGCGGGGGGGGGGGGGCGGCGGGTGAGTCCAGGCAGAGCAGGTGCAGGTGCTGCCTCGGGGAACGGAGGCAGACTGCTGGGGAGCTCAGGAGGGGCTGAGCATTGGTTTGGGAGTGGGCAGATGCCCCCCACCCCAGGGGAGGGAGAGGCAGGGGATGTGGCAGCTCCCTGCTTCCTCTTCCAGGGATTCAAGGGGAAAACAGGACATCCCGGCCTCCCTGGCCCCAAGGTAAGGCCAGGGCACCCAGCACACTGGAGGCCTGGTTGAGTGGATGTGCCACCTGACCCTCAGGGAGGTGCCATCCCATGTTCAAGTCGCCTGAGTCACTGGTGCCCAGCAGCCTAGTCAAGGCGTCACCATCTGCCAGCCTGAGGACACCAGGAGCCTCTGGTCCGAGCTGCAGTGGACCAGAAGGGTCAGTGGGAGTGTGGTCAGCTGAGCTCCTGCTGTTCCCCCCACCCCCTTCTCTTTCCCACAGGGTGACTGTGGAAAACCGGGTCCCCCTGGCAGCAGTGGCCGGCCTGGAGCTGAGGTGAGGGCTGGGGTGTGCACAGAACCTTGTCCAAATGTGGGGTGGCCTTCGTCCCTGAGGTAGCCCCTTCTTCCACCCCTGCTCCTTCCGGGGAGGTCTGATGGCACCCCCACATCACCTGCCCACCTTGAGGCTCCCTGGAGTGGGCGGGAGTCACTAACCTGGAAAGGCCGCATCTGGCCTCTCAGCTGGAAGGGGCTTTCTGGGGGCTCCCTGGCTCTGGGCTTCCTCCCTCCCCACTGCACAGCCCCCAGTGTCGGGTGATAATGTCTGTTTCTGACCCCTGCAGGGTGAGCCTGGCCCTATGGGACCTCAGGGAAGACCCGGCCCCCCTGGCCACGTGGTGAGTTAATCTGTGTCTCTGGCGCTCCGGGAATGGGGTCCCCTGAGGGGCTGGGGAGGGGATGGCCTCAGGAGCGACCCATTGGTCTCAGGCTCCCCTCCCATTTCTTCTTCTCTGGGAAACATCGCATTTACTTATCAAAATAAAGATTGATCATTCGGTTTTTCGGTACATGATCACAGAGCGCCTGCTCCATGCTGGGCACTGCTCCAGCACAAGGGTGCTGAGAGAGTGCGAGAAAAGCCGTGATACCAGGGCTCATGATGGAACACAAGAAGCTCTCCCGTCCTCATCATTAATTTTAAGGATCTCCTGGGGTCCAGAGACCCAGGACAGTGGGGCCCTCACGTCCCACATAAGGAGCCTCACACCCTGAATTGCTGTCCCTAGGGAAATGCGGGACACTTTCCCTGCTGCCGTCCCCCTAGTCAGCCTCAGAGCTGGACATTCCTGCCCCTGGAAACTGGCAATGAGGACAACAGTTCCTGCCCCTAGAACCTTCTGTCTGGGAGCAGGGGAACACACTCTGAGAAAGACCCAAGTGCCACTGGTCAGCGAAGCCTCTCAGAACTGAAGAAAGGGGGTCCTGATTAACTTCTCAGGCCTTCGCCCCCACAGTCTACCTCATGTGCTCAGTGGAAGGGGCCTATGGCCCGGAACCCCAGGGGCTGCCCCTGAAAACAGGCTTAGGGCAGAGAGCAAAGCTCTCTCCCTCCCACTGACTTGGACTCTCTTCAGGGACCACCAGGACCACCGGGCCAGCCGGGCCCCGCCGGGATCTCTGCCGTGGTGAGTGACATGCTCCACTGGGCCTGTCTTCCCCGTGCCCCATCCAGGGGTCATGGGTGGGTGTGGGGAGTATTTGATCCCCATTTCCCTCCTGCCCTGGCCACGGCCTCTCTTGCTTCTGGCGTGCCAGCGCAGTGCCTGGCCCCAAGTTCCAGCAGCACCGTCTCCTGCGGGTCTGGTGGCGACAGAGGAACTGGGCCCTGGTGGCCCTATCCAGGGGGCATCTTGCCTCCGGGTATGGGGGGTTCGCCTTCCCTCGACCCCCCCTCTCTTTTCTCCAGGGCCCGAAAGGAGACCGGGGAGCCACCGGAGAGAGAGGTCTTTCCGGCATCCCGGGCCAGCCTGGTCCACCCGGACACCCTGGTCCCCCGGTAAGACCCCACCTTGTGGCCTTGCCCGTCCTGGGGGAAGGCCCCCAGAAAACAGCCGCGTGCAACACTGCGCTTGAGGGTCTCCAGGGCAGCAGGGGCCGTGGGCTTAGAAACCCAGGATGGGGCCATGAGCAGGAAGTGGCGAGGAGCCCGTGGGGGGAGCAGCCGAGCTCAGCAGGCCTGCGCGGTGCCTGCACACAGGCCCGGCCTCACCTTCGCTTGCCTGTCACGCGCTTCCCACTGTCCTGGAGCCCAACCGCCACTCAGAAACCTTGCCGCTTTCCCTGACATTTAACAGACGAGCCGTGGCATTTTGGCCACTGACAAATGCTGAGCATTTGTCTCCTAATCTGTCCCGTGGCCCTAGTTAGTCGGTCTGGCAGTCCCCATTTACTAGGCAAGGAAAGCAAAGCACGTCAAAGTGAGGCCGTTGGCCGAGGGCCGCACAGCCGCCAGTGGAGAAGCCTGTCGTGGAACCCGTGTCCTCCTCTTCCTAAAGTTTCAGATGTGACCAAGTCTGGGGGGAGAGGGGCGCGGGCTGAGGAATGGGGGCAGAAACCCTGGTGTTCTAGCTCCCCAGGCTGGTGTGTGGCCCCCAAAGCTGCCTCTGTTCAGGGGACAGCAGCAACAATGGGGGCTGGTGGTTCCGGGGCGGGCGTAACTCCCGTGGGGGTCAGCATTTCTGCTTGGAGGACCCAGCCCTGACCCCGGGGCAGGCAGCTCCCTTTTTCTTTCCCTCCCTGCTGGTTTGGGGTGCCTCTGCCTTCAGTCACAGAGCCATTCCCACCCCAGCCCTGCAGCGAGCAGGGGCCCAGGAGGGAGGCGGTGGGTTCGGGCACCAGCTGATGCCTGGGAGCTCACCAAGCACAGGATCATAATTCATGTACTCACCCCACAAACATCTCACTGGTTCTTGGGACCAGGGAGTGTTGCCCTACCCAGATCAAGGCAGGCACCTCTGTTCTTCCCTGGCCCAGCTTGGTCAATGTCTGGTCAATGAATGGTCTGTGGACCTGATGTCCATATTGATGGTCTGTAGACATCAGTGTGGGACTCGGGGACTGGGCTGGGTGGGAAATAAGTTTTCATAATCTGGCTCAGAGTGTGGGGTGGCGGTGGGGGGACTGGGAAGGGGCTGACCAGGCCTGCTGGCCAGGATAGGCCTGTGACAGACATGAAGCTGACTTGGCCTCTTCATGTCCCCATTATTCTCTCCTCCCCAGGGTGAACCTGGTGCAGATGGTGCAGCTGGAAAAGAGGTACTGTGTGCCGGGTGCCCCCTCTCCTGGGTGTGGAAACACAGGAGGCTGCTGTTCTGGGGAAGGGAATCGGGGTCCTGGGGATGAGGGCCAGAGCGAGACTCTGTGTTCTGACCCCATCCAGCTGGGCATGAACAGGACAGGGCCTGCTGTGGTAGGTGATGCTTCCTGTTAGGACCTGCCTCCCGGGACAGACTTAACCCCTGACTTTTCTTTTCCTCTAGGGACCCCCGGGAAAACAAGGGCTCTATGGCCCACCTGGTCCAAAGGTGAGCAGGCACACTGGCTCTGCCAGTGACACAGGGGCTGACTAGGAATTCAGCGGTGGCAAGAAGCAGAAAACTAGTGGGAATGTGCAGGAACCCAAGTGGGCAAAATCTGGAGCAACCTTGCTTTAGAATGTCTCAGGGGGGCCGTTCTGGGGTCCTTAGCTGTGGGCCTGGGGACAGAAATCAGCCCATTCCCTCATTCACTCATCCAAGTCAAGATCTGCAGACACTCGCTTGCATCTCAGGTCCCTGTGCCAGGCTTCATACATATAGCTCCCCAAACCACGGGTGCTCACTCGGTGAGGGCACTCCGGCCCCTACAGTTGGTGGTCAGAGGGAGCAAGTGTCCATTCAACCTGGGAGCCAGGGAGGCTGCACAGGCTAGAGCCTTTCCTCCAGGAGGGACAAGGCAGTGGGGCCAGATCTGAAAGTTCTTCTGAGTGAGGTCTGGCCACAGATAGAGAACAGGTGCTCAGGCAGCATCCTGAATGTTCCTGAAGGCTGGGAAGGAGCGGGATACCAGGGTGCCACCAGAATTTCCTTTGTTTTTAATATCAAAAAATTTTTAATTGCATGATTAAAAATATTTTCTTCAATAGTGGCAAAAACGTTTCTAAACATGAAAGAGGATTTGTGGCTATACCTTATAACCAGTATTTGCAATGGAATGGGCAGCTTTATTACCTATCTTCCTTGTATTAAAAACTGACCCTCTCAATTGCCAGCGGCAGAATAGTTTAAGCAGGAAGAAATGCCTTGGGACATGTCTTTTAGAAGATGGGCTCTGGAGGTAGAGGTGGGGTGACCCATAGGAATTCCATGGCCACAGTCCAGAGGGAGATGCTGGGAGCTTGGAGGGAAACGGGGTGGATGGAGAAGAGGGCTGGACATCACTAGGTCAAGCTGACTGGACTCAGGAGCCTCCTGTGCTTACAGGGTGATCCGGGACCTTCAGGACAGAAAGGCCAAGCTGGAGAGAAGGGAAGAGCTGGCATGCCTGGTGGGCCAGGCAAGAGTGGCTCCATGGGGCCAGTTGGCCCTCCAGGTCCAGCAGGAGAGAGAGGCCACCCTGGATCTCCAGGGCCTGCGGGGAGCCCTGGATTGCCTGGGGTGCCTGGATCCATGGTAAGGGTCAGGGGACAGCTGGCGGCCACGGGCACTGTCCCAAAGAGCAGATCTGCTGAGTGGCACATAACTGTTCTTGCTGACTCTGTGGAAAGGGCACGCCGCTGTATGGGGGTTCCTAACTGGATGGGGGTTGTTCTCCCTAGAAACATGCTCTGATGCATAAAATGTGTTGTATATTTTGGGGTGGGGGTTCAGGGAGCATTGGATTAAGTGTTAAGTATCAGCGAGAGGCTCCCACCCCCTTTACCCCCTCCCCATCGAAGTCCTTTGCCGGGGGGAGAACACCGGGCTTAGGAGTCTTAATTGTGACAGGTTTTCTGCTCTTTCCTCAGGGAGACATGGTGAATTATGATGAAATCAAAAGGTTCATCAGACAAGAGATCGTTAAAATGTTTGATGGTAATTGGCTGAGTGACAGTGGGTGCGAGACGGCCCGCCCAGTGCTCACCCCCCCCCCCCCGCCCCCGCTCCATTTCCTTAAGCTCATCCCACCTCACCCATCACAGGCAGGTGCTTGGTTAGGCACACGCACACCTTCCCTATCCCCTGCTCCCTTCGTGCTCCAGCCCCCACTGGAGCATGGGAGATAGACAGGAAAATTGATAGGGTGTGTGGCTGTGTGCAGTGTGCTCCAGCAGGGGCTGTGAGCAGTAGCTGAGACCACTGCTGTGGGCTCATTGGACTCTCTCGACTGAGATACCAACGAGCATCTGGGGAGCCACAAGCCCCGTCCAGAGGGTCCATACGCTCCCCAGGAGGCCACCCTGGCTGCCCAGCAAGGCCTTTGTCCTAAGCCCGGTGAAGCCCTGGAGAGTGTTGGAGACAGTCTTTTACCATCTCTGCACCGAGAGCTCATGTAGAGACCCCCAGGAGGCCCACCCAAGTCCCTCTGCAGGGTACCTGCTCCCCATTCCGTATCCCACTGGCCTCTCTGCAGTCGTGGGGTCCTTCTGAGTGTGGGGCTCTGACTGCCCTGTTCTTTCCTACAGAGAGGATGGCTTATTACACCTCCAGGATGCAGTTCCCCGTGGAGATGGCGGCAGCTCCTGGGCGGCCGGGGCCCCCAGGGAAGGACGGCGCTCCAGGCCGACCAGGAGCCCCAGGGTCGCCCGGGCTCCCGGGACAGATTGGCAGAGAAGGACGGCAGGGTTTGCCAGGGATGAGAGGTAGCTCTGCCTTTCTAGTCCCTGGGTGCATGTGGAGCTGGGGGATGGAGGTTGGGGGGAGACTCAGAAGCATGGCATGAGGTCTCCTGTGAAACCCCAAGGTGGGTTTCGGTTCTTTGCACTGGAGTACCTCCTGCTCAGGGGTAGGACTGACTTTCTTTCTTTTATCCCAGGATTTCCCGGTTCCAAAGGTGAAAAGGGGGACACTGGTATTGGCATTGCAGGAGAAAATGGTCTCCCCGGCCCCCCAGGTAAGAAGAAGCAGCCATCTGAGACCATAATTACTGAGTGATGCAGGTCTGCTGAGTCCTACTCAGTAATGCCGCCATGTGCATGGCTGGGAGAGGGCAGGCCCATGCCCACCTCTGTCCAGAATGGGGCTGGCAGGACACAGGTAGAGAGCTGGGCATGCAGGTGCCAGGGAATGTGAGCTCCAGTCCTGGTCAACGTCACTCAGACAAAGCTGGGTGTCCTGGTGTGTGGCTCCAAGACCCAACCTCGCTGCTCAGCCATGCGCCCCTCTAGACCTGCGTCCTCAGCCCGGGTAGGAGAGAACAGGGCCTTTCTCTCAGAGTGGGGCTGGAGGCTCAGTGAATGGTACTTTCAAAAGCCCGGGACCCAGCTCACAGAAATTCACCCCAAACTACTCAGACGCAGTGTTATGGCTGCTATGTTAAGATCAGGTCTTCAGGCCGTGAAGTACTCGCCCCAGGGACGTCCATCCGATGTAGGGGCTCCTTTGCCATGATCAGAGTTTCTCCTTTTCCTGTGATCTGGGTATCCTGATCTCCTTTTCTGACTCTTCTCTCCCCAGGGCCTCAGGGTCCTCCAGGCTATGGCAAGATGGGTGCCACCGGACCCATGGGCCAGCAAGGCATTCCTGGCATACCTGGTCCCCCAGGCCCCGCGGGCCAGCCAGGCAAGGCTGGCCACTGCAACCCCTCTGACTGCTTTGGAGCCATTCCGATGGAGCAGCAGTACCCACCCATGAAGAGCATGAAGGGGCCTTTTGGCTGAACTCAGCCCTACCGTCAGATGAAGGACTCCGCTGGGACCAGGAGCTTAACTTACAGGACTCTGTCATGGGTTGTGAATGTTTTTTGTGTTTTAGTTTTTTAAATGGCTGTTAATATTTTTTTACCAATAAACAAACAAAACTCCCGTGATCCCACTCCAGTGGGGTTTCTCTGGTGCTCCAGCTGCAAGTCCGTGTCGTCCTGCTCTTGTCACTGGGTTCTGGGGGCAAAAAGAGAGCCTCACTTCCATGGGCTGTGGCCCACCAGTGGGCTCATGCACTGACGCTGCCTAGAGTTTCCCAGCTTGGCTCCTCTCCCGAGATGTCCTCTTCTGGGCCTTTGCACCTGGTATCCTGGCCTTCATGGCACACTTCTCAAGTCAGAAAAAGGGGCACCATTCAGTTCCTCTGCACAAGTAAACAAAAACAGTGAGGTGTACTGAGCCTTACTACAGCAGGTAGGGTACTTGCCTTGCATGTGGCCAGCACGGTTTAGCTCCCAAGCACCATATATGGTCTCCTGAGCCCTGAAAGGAGTGATCCCCTGAGCACAGAGTCAGGAGTAAGCCCTGAGCATCACTGGGATGAATCAAACAAACAAACAAACAAACACAAAAAGATCTGAAGACCCTTCTTCCAGCTCATAAAGGTTTGTCTCAGCTGGCTTCCCTAAAGAAATCAGTGTGTGGTCCCCACCCACTTACTTCCTCCCCGCTTTGAGCAAGACCCAACGCCAATCCAGGCCGTACCTTGGGAGATAACACTCTGTACTGAGATGTGCTCATCCACCTGCAAGTGCTCAGTCTCTTCTTGCTGCTCCAGTAATTCTGTGATTAGGAAGCCCATACAAACAGGAGCAGGAGAGACTGAAGCCCTGGTCTAGGCAACTAGGGAACGCTTCTCTGGGAAATGAGATGGAACCTCCTGCCCACTCCAATGCATGGCTCTGTCCCTAGCTCTCCTGGGCTGCAAATGGTATATTTGTTATTAATGTATTTATTTGCTGGATTGGGGGTGAACCAATTTGGCTGTGCTCAGGGATTACCCCAGGATCTGCACTCAGAGATCACTCCTGGCAGTGCCAATCATCACTCCACACCAACTGCAGCGCCCGAGATGGAACCCAGGTTGGCTGCGTGCAAGACAAGTGACCTACCCACTGTACTATCTCTTTGGACCTCTTTTGGTATTTTTTGTTCATCAAACATGTGGTGCTTCTCTGTATCTTCTAACCCAGGCCTTCAAAACCAGACCGCATCTGTGAACGAGGAGGGCAAGGGCAAATAGCTATCAGATCCAAGTACACAGCCCACAAATGGGTTTGGTGGTCTCTCTGCTGTCTCCTTCTTCATATGTGAAAAGGATCTGACAGCAAATCAACTACTGTAGAAACATTCTGCCTTAAGCTGCTCCCTCTACTTTTCAGATCTCTTGTCCTGATGGGCTGGTTGCCTAGAAGAAAGCAAGAGGTACATCCAGAGGGACGTCCAAAGAAAGACTTTACTGGCCCAGGTTTTCTGGAAGGGATAAACAAGTTGGATAAACTTCAAAGGGATCTTCATAAGGCTCAGAAATGTATGCAGAGTCCAGATGCTTATCCAAACTGCCTAAAGCCTTCAAACTAGCTGTCAAATCACTCCAGAGCTGGTCTTTCCAGCACCATTCTGAAAATTCCCTTTACTGGTTGAGCCCCAATTAGCAGCACGCCAGCCTGGGAATGGCCTTGCACAACCTTGGCCCTATTTCTTTACTGCTAGAAGCAAGGTGTGTCAAAGGCCAGAGGGATGGGGGTAGGGGGAGGGAATGGTTGACTCCTGAGCATGCCCCAGCATCTCACAGGATAGTTTTAGATAAAAGAGGAGTCAACTTTCACTTAATCCCTTACCAGCAATTCTTGGCTCACCCTGATTCTAATAGAACATTCAGAAGCTAACATCGTCTTTGCATTGAAGTGGCAGCTAGTTTTGGGCAGATGTTAAAGTGCTCCCATTGGAGGGCCGGCTTCACTCCCAGCCCCGTCTGTGAAGTACTAACTGATGATGATGGACATCAGGATAAGGAGCACATTGGCAGGAGTAGAAAGAGAGAGAAGCAAGAACCAGCTGTTGGGCCGAGCAGGTTGACTGTAAAGGCCGGAGGGGCAAATTGCTAGGAGGAAACATCAAACTCATCCCCTTTGAGAGCCACAGAGAGTCAATCCTTACAGAGTAAATGATGCTTTCTCCACTTTTCTTCCTGAGTCAAATTCATGCTACTCTTAAGGGACTGTACCACAGGCTAAGTTTAAGCTTTCATGATTTCAGTGTTTGTCTCCCTGGAGTTTGAAATTGCTGTATTTTCCTGGACCATGAAGAACCAGATGGGAAGCAGAATTTTATAGTCACTTTTGTTACTGTGGTCAGCAAAAAAAAAAATAAAATTCACGGAATTTGCTCCTAAGTTCCAGAGCAGGATAAGCTGGAGAGAAAGGAAGGAGGAGCTCAAGGCTTCCACTCCTTCCTTCTACACAGCTTTCCCATCCACCCACCCTATTCTTCCTTATTTCTTAGTCTAGTCCAGGCTTTTAAGGCAACCTAAAGATCCTGTGGATACTTCAGGGCAAAGTCTAACTTGAGGCTCCATTTCCTTTTTGTACTTTGTGCCAGGAACTGTACTAGGCTCTGGGGATTCAGAAGCCAACCAGGCAGCTCTTGTCCCTAGCCCCACCATGTCCAAAGAGAGAGCAGAGAGTTAAATAAGCAATTACAATAAAGCATAATGATGGGGCAGTCCCAGGAACCCAAAGAATACAGGTGAAGGAACCTAACATTGCCCAGAGAGAGACAGATGGAGGTAGAGGGAAGAGCATGTGCCAAGGTCCAGAGAGGACTGAGTGCAGCCGCTGAGGGTTAGGAGATGATGTGGTGTGACTGACATGTGGCTCGTGAGCAGGGGGAGATGTTCGCAGGGAAGCAAGAAGCCTTTGAAAGGGAGTGTTTTGTGGGGTTCACCCAAAAGAGAGGGTTCACTTATGTCGCAGGAAAAATGAGTTGTAGGAGACTTAATTTGAGAAACCCTCTGGTCTGCCAGATGGAGAAAAGGTTGCTGCATATTTATTCTGCAGAGAAAAATCCCAATTTTGGTGGCTTCTGGAATTCAGATCTTCCTTTAAAAAAAAAAAAAGAACATGTTTTCCCTGTCACTGGGATTCATCAAATCTATTTAGACTCTTTGTGTGTGGTCTGCCGGTCCTTTATCCCTTTATTTAACAGATCTTTTTGTTGCCCTGAATGGTTGAAAGGAATAGAATCTATCAATGGACATTCCATGTGATCCGATAATGGAGGAGTTAGCCAGATTGCAGGGCTGCAGTTCTCATTGTTCTGCTGGTTCCGCAGAAATCTGCAAATCACCCTCTGATCCACAGCATCCGACTGGAATTTAAATGTCGGATCCAATCAGAATCAATTCCATAATAGTGAAGGGGTGCTTGGTATTTCTTCTCAGTGAGCATTTGTGAAGCTGGGTGCTGAGCCATGATGGTGGGGTGGAATGGGAGATCCTGAGGGTGGGGAGGAGGCCATATTTTCAAGAGCATGGACCTTTCATGAGGGACCTCTGCCTCACCTCTACTGGGTCAACCAGAGGACTACTGTGAACTCAGGAGAGTGCTGGGTGAGGTAGAGAGAGCTGAAATCCAAGCTTCCCCCTTTGGCTAAAGCTGAAACAATAACAGGAATTCCCCCCACGCACCCCTCTCTGCCTCAGGTAGTTGAGGTTTTGGACCTGAGCTGATTATTTCTGCAGTCTTTGGAAGATCTTATGTCCCTCAGATCTGGTTCCTCCAAAACAAACACACCTGCACCTGCTGCAGATCCTCAGGGGCCCAGTCCTGAAAGTGGCCTGGGCTGGTCTCTGCTTGCCTGAGAGAGGATGTGGATGACCTTGACCCCACATCACACAAACATCCAGTAGTTTTCCTAAGAGCCATTACTGGGCAAAAGGGACTGGGAGTGTGGAATTCTCCGGGGCTTTATTCCTCTGCTCCTTGAGCAAAGCCTGGCATGGTGAGAACTCACAGGTTAATGTCGGTGAACTAAAATGAGTGTCACGTTACTCCCACTAGCAGGGTAGGTATCACTCTTCTCTCTCCCATCAAATGTCTCTTCAACCCGAGCTGCAGGGCTTCTGGAAATTTCAATACGCTTCTTTCAATAGTCACAATCTTACAATTTCACTTTGTGGTGGTGATGGCGGTGTGGTGACGGGCGGGAGGTTTACAAAAGGGCACGAGGTAACGTAGACAAGAAGTACTAAGTACTGAGTTGCTAAAAGAAAGCGGATCTGGTCCGAATACTAACTTCTCCACTTATCTTTTGCCAGTAGGGACGTCATTTTGCCTCCCTCAGTCCCAACAACTCATTATGTAAGTGAAGCAGCACTTTGTACTTAGCCCAATGGCGGGCACTGAACGGAAGCATTCAGTCCCGGATGAGAACATCACTAATGCTTATTGAGCTCATGCCAGTCATCATTCCAGATGCTAGGGACAGAGGGACATGTAAGATTAAGACAATACTACAATACAATGTAAGCTGTAAAGAGAATGATTTGAGTAGTGACAAGTTTTATTAAAAAAATAATAATACGATGATGTAATGGATAGCTAGAATGTGTGGAAGGGTCACTGTCACTGTCCTCCCGTTGTTCATCGATTTGCTCTAGCGGGTCCAGTAACGTCTTCATCATGACAATTGTTACTGTGTTTGGCATATCGATTACACCACGGGTAGCTTGCCAGGCTCTGCCGTGCGGGCGAGATACTCTCGGGAGCTTGCCGGGCTCTCTGAGAGGGGCGGAGGAATCGAACTCGGGTCGGCCATGTTGGCTGCGTGCAAGGCAAACGCCCTACCCGCCGTGCTATTGCTCCAGCCCGTGTGGAAGGGTACAACAGTGTTTTAACTTTTTTTGACACCAGCCAGAGCTCAGGAGTCATTCCTGGTGATGCTTGGAAATTATGCATACCAGGGCTTGAGCCTAGGCCTCCAGCATGCAAAGCATGCACACCAGCCTTTGAATCCTTTCTCTGCCTTCCACAATGCTGTTTTAGATGTGGTGTTCAGGAATGTCCACTCAAGGAGATGCTGTTGGAACCGAGATTTGGGTATGGCAAGGAGGAGCTAGTCCCAGAGAAAAGCCAAGGGAAAAGTA